GGAATGCCATATACGACAGCCAACTGCTTACTGCCAACTGCTGACTGCTCACTGCCAACTGTCAGCTGCTTACTGCCAACTTCCAAACAAATTTGATTAAATTTTATATTTATATTGATATTTATGTGAATTTTCATAAAAAAGAAGGAAAAACCGGCGCGGATCCAGGACATTTTTTCCAAGAGGATCACCCTGGTAAAATTAAATTGATTAAATGACCAATATTTTTTATCTTCTGTTATATAGAATGTATGCGATTGATAAAGTACATTGATTTTTTTATATTTCCATTTCCAATTGTTTTCTCTATGATAAACACTACAAAAGTGTATCTTGTTAATTTCATGATAATACCCTGTGGTATGTATATTTCTCTATTACTGAAAGGTCAGGTGTCAACCTGCATGTATATCACTGGCGTATAAATATACTCAAGAAAAAATAAATGTTTTGTTTAATTGTTTACTAAGTAATTTGATTGATATATCTTTTTAACAAACAAAATAAATAATAAATTATCTTCGGCTCGAAAGCAAGTCACTAGCGCAACGCTGTCCACTATCATCGAGGCCTCGCGAGTCCGAGAACTCCACTTCCGTAACAGCCACGTGGAGAAATTGACATTGCCACATGGATCTGCACGTACTCCATCATCTGATACAGACATCGTCCCTTAGTCATTACCATCCGACTTCTTAAGCAACTCAACTTCTTCTGTTATTATAACATCCATACAAATCGGTTTCCTGACCATGCTGACCAGCTCCCGTTTCATCAACTGCAACATTGCATTCAATATGGCGGCGGAGAAGTGACACAGTGCCTATATATGTTCGTGCTTCCGACAACCTAAATCTAGGTCACATATATAATTAAAGTCAACAAGATTACTTTGATCATCATTTAAAATTCTTTGTTGTTTATGTTATAAATGTTGATATTTGACTACGGTAAATATAAATAGTCAATAAATTTGTTTCGTGTTTTTGGGACTATTTTTTATAGTAAAATTTGACGTCATGGGGCCTTGTGCATTTCAAATCTACTCAATTAGACGGTATTTCGATTTATTTTAAGATGGTTATTTCAAGTAAAAATGGAAATATAAGGAATCACTGTCTAGTTTTGAGGGTATGCCAGGGACATCAACAATAGTGGGAAACATAGGATAATTTTAGCATAACGGGCTTCGCCCGTTATGCAAATTATCCCATGTTTCCCACTATCGTTGATGCTCTAGCATACTATACTAACTAGACCGTGATTCCTTAAATATATATGTTTTCTTATTTGAAATAGGTAATAAAATGACTATGTTCTGCTTCTAATCTTTAAAGAAATAACACCCCCACCGGTGGACAACAAAACCTTTGAAGAGAGAAAAATATATAAAAAAAAAAATATTTGTCGTTTCGCAGAGAAAGATGTTTTGAAAATAAATTACCATTTTTCCATTATATTCTATAGTTAAAAATTTCCTCAAATGAAAGGTATAATTCTCTGTGTGTTATAATGTTTCACATGCATGGATTTTTTTTTTTTTTTTTTGGATTTAAAATTTGTACAGTCATAGGTTAATGTATGAACTAAAGAAACTAAAACTGATCTTGGACCTCCCAAGAAAATGTCGATATAATATTTATATCTTTTTGTTTTTACAAATAAGATATGTTTTACATGCATAGATCTAGAGAAAGGGGTCCAGAACACACCTCTGAAATTTGTAAAGTTATTTAATTCACAAACTTATACAACTAAAAGTTATTTAATGTATAAAATAAATCAACTAAAAGGGACCTTAGACACCCCCCCCCCCCCGAAAACGTGGATACGTGTTAAGTTGGTATTAAAAAATGTCATAGACATGAAGTATGACGCATAAGAAACCCCCTCTCCCCCTCTCCCACCCCTCTCCCTCGAAATAAATTTTCACATTTAGGGAAGGACTTTGCGTTTTTTTTTTCTTCTCAAGAAATTTCTGGGTTGGATTTTTTTTTCACCAGAGTGACCCTCTTGGAAAAAATGCCCTAGATCCGCGCCCCCCCTTTTTTTTTTTGGAAAATTCACATGAATATCAATATAAAAATAAAATTTATTCAAATATGTGTGGCAGTTGGCAGTAAGCAGCTGACAGTTGGAATTAAGCAGTCAGCAGTTGTCACAAAATAACACATAGCAATTATTATATATATTACAATGAGTTTTTATGAGTCTAAATTGGGGGGGGGGGGGGGGGGGGGGGGGGGGCTCTGGTCAAGTGTTCCTTTCGTGTATACTAAACAGTTATATTGATATAACAGTTCAATAATAATTTAAAGTTAGAATACAATATGTAACATTTTTTGGCTCTGTTTTCGAAAATTCGAGGCATAAAATTTTGTTTTGTTCATTTGTCTGTTTGTTAGTCAGTAAAATATTATACGGCCTACAATTTGTCTTGTGTATATGTACATTCATGAAATGCATGTGTACATGTACCAAAAAAATAAAAAGTTACAATTTCGCAAAAAGACAAATGTACTTGTACTTTTCTTTAAAATAGGTAATGAATTGTACATGTACAGACAAAAAAATCTATAGTGTAGTGGTAAATAAAAGAACTTCTTGAGTTCAAAGCACACCTCATAAACCTGTAAACAGAGAATATTAAACAAGATAATTTCAGGAGCATGCTGAGATTGACCCAATTATTAATGAATCTTTGGCTACATAATTCAAAGAAGAAAGGAAATATCTAAATGTTCTAATTACAAAGTATGAACCAAAAATGAAAGGTCTGAAATCATGAAAATATACCGACCATTTGTTTAACAAACAAATCTTTCAAACAAAACCAATGATTGCAGATACTTAACATTGAAAGTATGGGTGAGTTGCTGACAAAGCTATTTTGCCCCAACAATTACGGTTGGAATCAGGATGCCTGATAAAATCGGATCCGTAATTTATATTTAAATACACCAGTACCATATCATCCACCAAAAACACTTTGTTGTCATAGCAATACAGTCAATAATTAATTACTTTTTCAAATTAAAAAGAAATAAAAATCGAAGCACCGTGTCGGGTCCTCTGAATTTAAAATTTGCATGGCTGCAGGGTATTACCTAAATTATTGCATCTAATATAGATTTTTTTTTGTCTGTACATGTACATTTTCAAAGAATTGTACATATACATTTTGTCTTTTCGTCAAATTGTAACTTTTTATATTTTTGTACATGTACAAATATTAAGAAAAGACAAAATTATAGGTCGTATGATTTTTTTTTCAGACAGGCTGATATCGACCATCGTAGTAAAAATATTAACATTGACCATAACTTTTAGTGGGTAAGGTTCGGTTCATGTATGTTTTTCACAGTTACTAGTATATTTCTTGTGACAGGACTTTTCTTTGGATACGAAATATTGGACATTGACCTTAATTTGACCAATTTTACCTTGGGCATAACTAAAATTCAGAACGGTTGGTACTAACGCTTTCATATTTTACAAGTACTCGTTATGATAAAACCCTCCAGGGGATACAAATCTTTGAACTTGATGACATAGTTTTGAACTTGGATGATGACTATTTTGGAAAAAAAAACCTTTAACTTTGGCCATAGCGTTTGAACGCTTTGCAATAGGGCTCTCACTGTAATCATTTGATAATTCCGCTGGAAACACTCATAGGAAAATGCAATCTCAACCATAGGCGTCGGAACCGGGGGGGGGGGGGGGGGCAGGGGGGCTTAGCCCAATGTTTAAAAATGGTGTAGAAAAAAAATATTGTGGTACTGAAGTTCGAATGTTTAACCCCCCCCCCCCCCCCCACGAAATAGGATTTTCGTGTTTGGGAAATTTTCATTTCTTTTTTTTTTTTTGCTTGTCAGGTTTTTTTGAGAAGGCATAAAAAAAAATTTTTAACACCTCGCCTCCCCCCCCCCCCCACTTTCAATTTGCTTAAAACGCCAATGTCAACTGAGGTCTGGCATAGCTAGATATTTGGACTGAAGCTATTTACCACTTCAACTGAGTGGGAAAATTACAACTGGTTTCATTTTTTGCCACATTTCAAGAAAGATCCTGGCGCCAATTTTACAAAAGAACTTACGACTAAGACCAAAAAAAAATTTTTTTTAAATGATTGTAAAATTTTGTAAAATTAATTATTCTCTTCAAAATTATTTGTGTAAAAATATATCTTACAACATTTCTTTTAAAAAGATTAAAATAATTTTCAATATAATATTTATTAAAAAGTTACATTAAGAATTAAATTTGGTCTTAAGTCGTAAGTCCCTTTGTAAAACAGGCCCCTGGAACGCATTCCTATTGGTCGGTCAGTAGACCAAGTGTTTTCGCTGAACATCATGAATTGTACAGTGGTATCACCCTGTACAGATAATCTAAAGAGACTTTCCCTCTTCATTTTGAGGTCGAAAGTTCAAATCACTATAGTATTCTAGACAAGGGAAAATACTGTCTGTTTAATATCTCAAGAACCAGGGGCGGATCCAGGAATTGAAGTTAGGGGGGGGGGGGGCGCAAGGCCCTGGTGGGGGCCCAGGGGCGAAGCTCATGGATTCTAGAGGTTTTGTAGGGTAAAAATGAGGTCTACCGAGTAATCTTTTTAAAAATTTTCTCGACAAAACTATGTTTTATGCTAACTTTGACAATTTCGGGGGGGGGGGGGGGGGCTTAAATCCGTCACGGAGAACCCTAGCTCCTTTACTTGGCGTAAGGCAAAATTGATTTACTTGCTCTTTAAGGAGTAAATTTTTGATTGATTCCATATTATCAATTTGAACATTTACTGATAGAAATTTTTAATATAAAAAATCCTAATACATCTCGTTTTCTCTCTCTTTTAGACTTGGCCTATGGACATGACCACTCCTCCAATAGATGTTGACCCCAGTACTATTTCATATCTTCTGTTGATTAGTATACAGTGTATATGCAATCTTTACACAATCTTACCATAAAATATGAAAAATGACCAAAAGCATTAGTTAATTTTAATTTTATCAAATAAATGTCAATCCATCACACTAAATAAAAAATATAATTATTATAACCAATAGGTGACAGACAACGAAACTGGTGAAAGGTCGCATGAATTTCTCGTGACCTAATAACATTGCTTCATTTCTTTAACAGTTGAAGTTTTGGGTCATAATTGTAATGAAAGAAGAATTCCATTCTGTAAATGTCACTTTCTCTTTTAATCACTTCTTTGACTTTCTTCATTCCATCTTCCAAAATAGCTTGAGATTTTGCACACACCAAAATGTGAAAAGGTGCATTTGTATGTGAAAATCCTACGCTCCCATTCTGTCCCCTGATAATAAGAGTACACTGAGTTTCTCTCTCTAAAGCACCTTGTAAACTACCAACACCTGAGCAAATCTTCTTGATGAAATCCCCTCCCAAGTCTTCTTCTAAAAACAATTTCCTTCTAAATTTTAGTGCAGCAAAGTTCTCAACTCCCTCCTTTATGACATTTTCCATCTGAATTACAGCTTCATTCAATTGTCCCTGAGTCTCGGAGTACACTGTCAAGAAAGGATTTTCAAAATCAAGCACCAATTTACAATTATGATCTCTCTCTAGTTTCTTTCGATGACTTGCTTTATCACGGCCAAGTAAGAAATCAAACAAAAAATTGTCATCTTCAACAGAACATGGGAGTTTCATTACTTTCATCACTTTAAACAACTTGCTATGATCTTCAAAGAACCTTTTCACAACCACACCAGCTTTCGAAACTTGTGCCTCATTTTCACCTGTTAACACAATACTGAACACACCTTCTCTTTTCATCCCTTTCAAATGAATATTACAACCTGTTTCTTTTTCTAACTCATACAGTACTTCTCCATCTGATCTCAAGAGACTTTGTATAATATGTTTGTTATAAGCAAACTTATGAACTTTGACTGTTCTTGCTTCTGAATGCAAAAATAATTTATCTTTATGATCAATGAATGATTTCACATCTATAACTGCATTTTTGACAGAAGCCATTGTTGGCCCAAGTAGAATTACTTGAGGAGGACTATGTTTTTCTATGCCAGTTCCTTTTCCAGTCATTATAAATGTGCACTGAGTTTTTTTTCTTAAATTGGCTGGAAAAGTCTTGGATGCCTTTAGGAAAGCTACATCATCTTCCTTGACAGCAACCCTTTTAAAGAACTTGTTCTTTTGAAGAAGTAAGACATTTTTCACAATTTCTTTAGCTCTGGATAATGCTTCACTGCTTTTTGCAAACACTTTTATACCACATGGTAGTTGACTAAAATTTGGTATCAAGAAAAAGCTGAGATCTTTCCCTAGTTGTGCTAGTTGGTTTTGTGGTTGGAATAAGGGATGGTTTAGGAGGAGATCTTCACAAAGGTACCTTTGATATAAGTCACCAATGTCTAACACTGAAAAGGGTACCATTTCACAAACATTGTGTTCTTTCAGGATCCTTTCAATAAATGTTTCTAATTTTTGAATGGTTTTACTGACATGGTAGTGATTACCAGTGGCAGTTAAAGAATAAGGAGGGGATATTTTCAGGTGAATCGTACATTTAGATTCTTTTGTCAAATACTTTTTCATCTTAGCCTTGAACCCTAATAGAAATACAACTGAATGTTTTGAGCTCTCATCAGTGGTTAAATCCAAAGTTTGATTAACCTCAAGGCTTCTCTCTCTCTTTTGACCTGCTAAATATTCATCTAAATACAAGAGAGAGTTCTGCACATCATTCACAGCGTATCCCTTCACAATCACTTGATCAGGTCTTCTGGGTGAAATAAAGAGGCTTTGGAGTTGAAAGTTGGTTTTAATTCTAGTAAAATCCTCATCAGTAAGTTTTTTCATGTGTACATCTTTCTGAAGCTTTAGGGTTCCAGTAATGTTCCCTTTTTCTTTGGAGATTTCCTTCTCATGATCAGCAATTTTTACTATTGATCTAGATGGAACAATACTGCAAGCTTTCATATGTGGCAGACATATAGCAGAAGGACTTGGACAATTCTCAAGTACACTTATCCTAAAACACCTGAAATAGAAAAGGTATGTATATTTCCTTTATAATTATAATTACAGTTAAATAGGTTATTAGATGATAGTTAAATTTGTTAAATTGCTGTCTCATCAGTTTATAAATATCACGTCATGGGTAAATAAAACAAGTTTTTATGGAATATCATGAGAAATTGGGGACAGGGAGCAAGTAAGCTGAAAGTTAATATGGTAGAGGTATAAACAGGATAATCTGAGAAAAATACAAAAAGGCTCATATAATTTAGATAAACTGTGTGTTTCTGGTTCCCCGACCAACCCAAGGCACTTGTTATGGAAATAAATTTTTTACCTATAGCATAATAATAATATAAGGTATCTAACTCCGATATTTTGGCAACACCCCAGATCCCTTCATTATTCAACCAAGTTCAATTTGTTATACCATTAAATGCACTGATAAAAACACTATTTTTTCCATGAATATCTTCTAAATGATAATCTTAAGGGATTGAAATTAACTTTTTTATTTCCACTTGCAAATTTTAGCTAGTGAAAATTTTTTGTCCTACAAAATGGAGCAAAATTAAATTCTTACTAGCAAAATTTTCAAAGTTTCTTTTTTTAAAATTAAAGAAATCATACTTCAATCACTTTTGTTTTTGTTTTACATCATGTGCACATTAAGTATGTGCCTGCATTTTGAATTTTCATATTATTCTTCGGACAATGTTTTTGTAAGAATATATAACATGCATCAAATTTCAGAATATGATTTGGTAAACAAGTTACACTAAAAAATCTATACAAATTAGTGTTGTTATTGAAACATTGCAAACACATATATGTTGAGACAAAATTTGATCCGTGGCACATAAATGTTCGCAAGTGAAATGTAATATCAATCAAATGTATTCCAAATTTTCTAACGGTTTTGACAGAAGCAGTGACGCTAACATCTTCCTGTGTTGAGTTAACATAGACAAGGTCATTATTGTTTACATCTGAAACAGCTGACTGGGATCAAAATTTGGGTTTATATAGGTTTACAATATTTTTTATTCGAATGCATGATTGATCAAGACGCCTTGGCCTTTTTTCCACGCTATGCATGTACTTTGCAACGCATCTTGATACTCATTCGATAAAGCGTCTCTAAGCATAAGATCAAAAGTAAACTTCAAAAGGCAATGAATAAACCCGGAATATCCGAAAAAAGATTGAGTTTTTTACTCGCAAAAAATTGCGACCACTGGTGATTTTGAACTCGTGATTTTGATTTTCAACTCGCATTTAGCAAGTATTTCCCTGGAATTTCATTGCCTGTGATAATTCATTTACACAACCAAATATGGCATGAATGTCTTGGTTTTTATTTAGCTATGTAAACAAAAATATCTGCCTGCCGAATAAAAGTCAAAATAAAATAACGAAACGGTTGTTTAACCTACACAACTGTACAAAACTTAAATAATGAGTTTAAAAAATTGAATTCCAGATTTAAAATATTGCACTGAATAAATATATAGGCTTATTCTGTTCAGTTTCCATGATAAAAACTGAGCTTTGAAACTTGTTTGAAATAAGAAGTGAAACATATGGAGATCAGAGACAAAACCCACGTTACATATGATATGTACCATGTCCTAATGCCACGTGCAGAGTCAAGTTCAATCATTATGATATTTAGTTAGAATTTTCTCTAAACGGTTTTGTAGATTTCGGCTCTATATTTTAAATATGTACGTAAAGGGGCATACGTTTTCTTTACTATGCGTAATGAGCGTGTATAACATAATTTACTCAACTTTGATTGTTAAGTTTCCTAGTATAAAGCATCACATACCTCAAAAATTGTCCTAACATATTTTTTCATGGAGGTCGCCATTAAAATTTAGGAGTTGGTAAATTGGGACACACTGAGCCAATCCGGGACGGATTCTCTTTATAAAGCCTGTCCTTCTCATTGGCGGATCCAGGAATTTCGTAACGGGGGAAAGTAGGGGGGGGCGCAGTAGAAGGCAGGGGGTCTGGTGGCTGTACTGAAGCCCCCAGTGGGTCTAAGGCAAGGTCCGGGGGGGGGGGGTCTGGGGCGAGGCCATAGAAAGCTGAATCCGGCATGTTTCGCGCCAATTCTGTTTCACACTGAGATGGTTCGCGCCAATTTCGGTGCGAAACATTTCATGATTTATTTTAAAGGCAGAGATTTTAAGCACCGCCTTCAAAAATACCTGGTCTGGGTAGCCCTGTCAATCAAGTGCATGAAGGCCCATCATTGGATGCTGGAACTTGATTGACATTTACTTACTGGTCCATGTGTATACCCTGTACACCTTCTTTGACACTCATGGGGGCCTTCAAATTAACTTTTGATCCTTTGATGTTTACCAAACAGGGTATTACATGTACAATGAAAATTTTTAGCTTGATTATATGAATTAAATACACCTTTAGAATTTGAAAGGATTATGATATAATATAATTTATTTTTAAAAATTTGAACATTGGTACATTGAAACTGATGAAATTTCTTAATTGATTTGAATATGCTAAACAGCCCCCCGGTTCCGACGCCTAGGAACAGTGTGTGAAGTATAATTAAATTTGTAAATATTTTTAAATGTTTCTATTCATGGGTAACATATGTTTCTTTGTTATTCAGATAAGAATTTACAAGCAATCTTGTTCAACATGTTTCATGGTGACAAAGAATACATGTAGTTTAAACTTTGATATATTTTTAAAAAAAAGAAAAGTGGAATTCTGGGAATGACTGAAATTATTAAGTCTAATTTGGATGAATTTTTTTTAAATTAACACATACATTAACATCTCAAATAATCTTTGTTGTACGTAATATTTGAATTTATAGTATATGATATCTTCATAATTGTTTTCAATGGGTAGGGGTGTTTTCAAATATTAAAAAAATAAATCAATATAGATTATTGAGAAACTTTTTACTTCTTATTTAAAATTGTCTCAAAATCCCCCAAACAAGTAAAGTTTGACATCTGGGTATTTCACTGTGTATAAAATCACTTTCTGTGTATAGGAATTAGGACACAGATGACCACAGGTAGTCTGCTAGCTCCAAGGTATTCACACATGTACAAAATAAGCCTCTCACTCACCCGGAATTTACCACCGGATAAAAAAAATATATATCAAAAATTAAATATTTAATCACATTTTGTTCCATTTTAAAACAAGATGTGTTTGTGAAACACTGATGCCCCCGTATGACAACATAGCGAAGGTTAACCTTTCTCAAATAAGGATCAAATATATTGGTACCTTAAAGTGAGGCCTTTTCACAAGAAATACAAATGTTAAATATAAAACCCTAGCACCACCAGTTCAAGGGTTATGACCAAGGTTAACATTTGAAAAGGTAGGACAAACTCCGGGGTCAAGGTCAATGGGTCGAGATTGCTGATTTCTAAAGAAAGGCCTTATCTCAGAGATTACATATTGGAAGTATGAAAGCGCTGGCCCTTACCGTTCAAAAGTTATGGTCAATGTTAAAGTTTGTAAAAAGGTCAAACTCCAAGGTCAAGGTCAAAGGGTCAAGGTTTTTGATATCCAAGGAAAGGTCTTGTCACAAGAATTACATATGTGAAACATGAAAGCTCTAGCCCCTACTGTTCAAAAGTTATGGTCAAGATTAAAGTTTGTAAAAAGTAGTTTAAACTCCAAGGTCAAGGTCAAAGGGTCAAAATTGTTGATATCCAGTAAAAGGTCTTCTCTCAAGAATGACATATTTAAAGCATGAAAGTCCCTCACCGTTCAAAAGTTATAGTCAAGGTTCAAGTTTTTTTTCGTAAGTTCAGAAATCTCCAAGGTCAAGGTCAAAAGGTAAAAATTGTTTTGTTTTCAAATGAGAGGTCTTGCCAAAAAGAATTGATATTTGAAATATGAAATTCCTAGTATCTACCGTTTAAAAAATTAGGGCCAAAAGAAAAGTTCGGAATTTTTGTGTAAAAATGGGTCAAACTCCAAGGTCAAGGTCAAAGGGTCAAGGTTTTTGACATCAAATGAAAGGTTTTGTCAGAAGGAGTAAATATGTGAAGTATGAAAGCCCTAGTCCTAACATTTGAAAAATTATGTTCAAGGTTGTATTTTAAAGAATCAAGGTTCTTGGTTCTTGGTACCCAATAAAGCATCTTTTCACAGGGATTACATATTTGAAGTATAAAAGCCCTAGCATTTACCGTTCAAAATTTATAGCCAAGGTTGAAGATTTTTCATAATTACAGAAATGTCAAAGGTCAAGGTCAAAATGTCAAAGTTGTTGGTATCTAATGAAAGGTCTTTATACAAAGATTATATATCTCAAGTTTAAATGTCCTACTGTGTACTGCTCAATAGATATGGCCAAAGTAAATGTTCAAAATTTTTGTGTAAAAGTGGGTCAAACTCCAAGGTCAAGGTCAGAAGGTCAAATTTGGTGGTACCCAAAAGAAGGTCTTGTCACAAGGAATACACATGTGAAATATGAATGCCATAGCTCTACTAAATCAAAAGTTATAGGCAAGGTTAAAGATTTTGCGGACAAACAGACAGACAGACATAGAGACAGCTAGACAGACAGCTAGGCAGACGGACGGACACGACAAAAACTAAAAAATATTTATCCATTATAAGATATACAGTGTATTGGTGCCTTGCCACTGGGTAGTGAAATGCGTCTAATGCGGCAGGATCAAACGCCTATAGATCCATTGCTGCCGCTGGCTAGCCTACTTATAGGTGAAAAGGAGAGTAGAATGCGTAAATCTTTCCCCGCCAGTACAAAGACTCTTCACTACCAAGACTCCTTCAATGCCTCCTCGTGGCGATGCATGGTAAACTGGGGTCCTTGCACGCTGGGCTAAATTGGAGGGGATCTCGGGATAGCAAAGACCCCAGTGTGTAGGCCCACCGGCGTGTGGACATGCCCTAGCACTCATTAACCTTGCCCCAGCTATTGGTTAATAGCCGGCTAGATTGGAGTCGTTAGCCATGATAGACAACCATTCTAAGAGATGGAATTTGATATAAAAATCAATCAATGGCTAGGCTGGAGTCATTAGCTTTGGATAGCAGCTAATCTAGAGAATGAAGACCTTGACTACAAATCTCTGGCCCTTCAGGCAGGGGGTTGGGCACCAGGTTAATCACCTTGTCCTGTAAAAAACCCATGATTACAGAAACTGCTACAGATCGACGTTAACTATGCTTGCCCTTCAAGGGTTGGAGCTGATGTTATTGTCATTGAAAATGCAAATGAAGACCGCCATGCAAAACAGAGAATGACGTTAAGCAAACCGATACCTCTGTTTTCACCCAAATCAGTCACAAAAGTTGCCAAGTGGAATGTACGTACAATGTACGAGACGGGACGATGCGCACGAATAGCTAAGGAAATGAGAAACTACAGCATCGACGTTCTAGGCATAAGTGAAGCAAGATGGAATCAAAGTGGAAATATAACACTGATTACAGGAGAAGTTCTTTATTCTGGAAATGAGAACAAAAAGGATCATCACACAAAAGGAGTGGCGATAATGCAATTAAGAAAGCAAAACAAAAAACAAAAAAAAAGTCTCATGGAATGGGAACCTGTCAATGAAAGAATAATGTGGGTGCGATTTAAAGCTAAATGCCAAAACTTTACCATCATTCAGTGCTATGCACCAATCAATGAGGCTGAGGAAGAGGTTATTGATAACTTCTATGAAAAACTACAGCAAATTTGGAACAACACCCCAAAGAGAAATATTAGAATAGTGATGGGTACGCGGTGACATGAATTCTAAGGTCGGCCAGAGTAACAAAAGCAGAGAAAAAGTAACGTGAAAGCACAGTATTGTAGAGGAATGAAAATGGAGATAGACTAACTGAATTTTGCGAAACGAGCGAACTAGTGATAGGAGAAAGCCTTTTCCCTCACAAAAAAACATCCACAAAACGGCCTGGGAATTACCAGACGGCAAAACAAAGAACCAGATCGACCACATTATGATTAGTCAAAGATGGAGAAGTTCGTTGCAGGATGTAAGAGCCATGAGAGGAGCAGACGTTAATTCCGACTACCACATGTTACTAGCCAAAGTGAAAATCAAACTGGCAAAGAATGCAAAAATTGAGAAAATGAAATTAAAGTACAATGTAGACAAACTGAAAAACCTGACTGATAAGGACATATTCCAATTAGAACTGAGGAATAGATTCAGTGCACTATACAGCGAGGATCAAGAACTAGATATTGAGGGTGAATGGACTGCTGGAAGGGATATGATCAAGAATACATGTGAAGAAGTCCTATGAAGGAAAACCAACAAGAAGAGTAAATGGATGTCTGATACCACTTGGCAGAAGGTTGAAGAAAGCCGTTAAATGAAAGAAAAAGTTAACAACGCGAAAACAAGAGCACAAAAGAGTGATGCACATGCCAAGCGCCAAACTTTAGATAAGGAAATTAAAACAATCATGCAGGAATGACAAAAGAGAGTGTGTCAACCAACTTGTAACATAAGCAGAAAGAGCTGCCTACATGGGAAATATAAAAACTCTCTACAACATCACCAAAACATTAAGTAGACGTAAAACATGCAAGTCTAAACCGGTCAAAGACAAAGATGGTAAAGTCCTCATCAAACTAAATGAACAAATGGAAAGAAACAGAAAATCAAGAAAGCCTTAAAATCATTGAAGAATACGATATTTTATAAAGCGATATCCGATATATTGGTCAGGATTCTTAAAAAAAGTCTTTTAAAAGGTCTTACAATTCAATTAATTCATGAATTTTAAATAAAAAAAATAATTGTTTTACAACCCAATTTGAAGTTCTTGTATCACTGTCATAACGATTTACACTTCAAATTCAAATTTTTAATAAGTGTGAATACAACATGTTAAATAAAGATGTGTGTTTTTATAATATTTATCTATTAAAGATGTGCTATCTCCTTAATGATTATATCATTATTGATTAATTTTAATTCAAAGCAGGGAAAAATGTAACCTTTGCTGATTGAAAGTCCCAACTTTTTCACAGAATTATAAGAAAATCTGCCTGTCCGATACGTATTAGAAATTATTTTTTTCGATACGATACATTCTATAATATCGATACGTATTGAATATACGATATATTGATACAATCCTAGCATCGGGTTGGTGATTAATGTGACAGAAAAAAGTATTGGTCCAAGAACGGTTCCCTGCGGTACCCCGGATTCCACATTGATCATCTAAGTATTCCAATTCTGACTGAACTCTTATTGTCCTTTTTGTAAGGTTTAGTTTGTTAGCCAGGTATGAATGTCTCCTCGTATCCCATATTGTTCAAGTTTGTGAAGGAGTCTATCATGGGGAACAGTGTCGAATGCTTTGGAGAGATCCAGGATTGCTATGATTACTTGATGTCCATTATCGTAGGATTTAAACATGTCAAGTATGGTTATAGTGAGCTGGATTTCACATGAATATCCAGACCTGAAGCCACGCTTCAGGGATGTTAATACTTATTTGTTTTCCAAGTGTTTCATCATTTGTCGACATATATTTACGCTCTAGTAGTTTGCAAGGTACTGATGTGAAGGAGACTGGTCTGTGGTTTACAGTTGCATTTTTATCTCCTTTTTTTTTTGTAAATTCAAGATATATTTGCGCTGAGCCAGTCTTTTGATAGATTCCCAGTATCTAGAGAGGTTTGGTATATAATCGACAATGATGGTGCTATGTGGTCTGCATATTGTTTTAGGACTCTGTTTAAGTTGTCATCAGATTCGACTGCTTTTGATGGGTGGATTTTTTTCAGCAGTTTTACCACACCTTTCCCTAATGATGATTCTTTTTATTCCTGCTTAAATTTTGTTTGTCGAGGACATTACCTCTACTTTCTTCTTTGTAAAGACCGATAAAAATTTTCTCAGAAGGAGTTTTGCTTTTTCTTAGCTGTCGTTAATTAAATGTCCTTTATCTTTAAGAGGTGCTACTCCCCGACTCCGGTATTTTCCTGTTTCCGTGATTTAACATACTAGTATTTCCAGAATGGTTTTGGGTTATTCTGTTCCATACCTTCTAGGATTGCTGTGTTTATGTAATTCCATTCTGGTTTTCTAATTTGTCTTTTACATTCGTTCTGATGGCGTGTGTCTATTTAGTAAATTTTGATGTACTTAATAAAACCGCCGAGGTTTAAAAGAATCAAAGTGATCATAGGTTTCAAAGTGAAATAAGAACGCAAATATTTAATATATATCTATTCTATTATTATTGCTCTTCAGACTAACACAATTATATTCTTTCATATTTACTAAATATCCCAAAAGTAAACCATTATCATGATTTATTCGAATACATGTAATTATAAATACGAAAACATCTAAAAAATATTGTCTTTGTACAGGAATCAGACCGAAAAAATAATTAAATTGAATGCAGCTATATAAATTGTGCTTGCCTTATAAAAAAAAAAACCCAGAAAAGTTATTCGTTACAATTATATAAATTGTAAGTACACTTGTATTAATTGCAAAATTTCTTCAAACCTTTTTTTTCTCTTACACAAAACGATATATGAGACCTAGATATTTTCGGTTTACAGATCACAGTGCTTCAGATAAACAGTCACTTTAGATGCCTTTTTAATGTCAGTTATGAATATAAATAATTAATTTTCTTTAATATATCCTAGATGAACTATCTAATATTTATTAAAGACCTAACCAGCCAATGAAAAATTAACCATTTTAGAAGTGCACGTAGGCGAAAGTTGCAGTGATATTGTATTTTCAGAGACGCACATTCATGCATGCAATGATATGGAATAAGGCGATTCATAGCTATTTGGTAGAGCATTGAAGATAATAATTAAGAATGAAGGGTTACTTTATTATTTTTCTTCTTCTCTTTTGCTCAAGCTGTGTGATGTCCGGTAAGTTTATTTTTTATCCCTCTGTGATTTATTTAATTGTTCGCATTTCATATTTTTAAATTAATTGTTCACATTTTTTGTGAAGTTAAAGAAATACTGTAAAAAGAATTCATAGAACTTTTTATCGTCAAATTGACAAGGAAAGGATGTCATTGCATTAAAAAATAACTAGTATTACAGTTTTACTTACACAATCTGATTTCATTCTTGTGAGAATGTTCATTGGTCTTTTATTTGAACAATATTAATTATACTTGGTTAACTATTAGGAATTGCTTTATGGTTTTGGTTTATACATAAGAAATTTTTCTCAAATTGAAACTGTTATTAAATAGACTCAACTAGAAAATCTTTGGGTTTAAATATGTTTTTTCTTCCTGTAAATTCCACTGTGGGACGTGGAGACCGGTCCTTCGGATGAGACCGTATAAACCGAGGCCCGGAGTGCCGAGTATAGGACAAAGTTTGCAGCTCTCCACATGCAAGTGGTGACGTCTCCATATGAGTGAAAAATTCTCGAGAGGGACGTTAAACAATATACAATCAATCAATCATCCCTGAATTTATATAAAGTTTCAATTTAATTAAGCAAGCATTGTAAAATGCCTCATGTTTTATTAATTTGTATAATTTATGAAATTATTGGTTTATAAAAACTGGTACAAGCTAGGAATTAAATCATTCTATAGAAGATTTTTTTTTTCACACGAGACATTCATCATCATGTCTGCATTACACATAAAGGGATGTATATTAACTTAGGCTTGAAGGAGTTGATTTGTTTTAGGTAATGTGGATTCATTGGAATTAGCCAACGGGGAATCCAATGTCATTACTTTGGAGAGTGGACAACAAACATCCATTCGTCTGGTGTTTCATGCTACCAGTGTCTCTTCGTATTCGTTTTCAGCTGTTTTGGATATTGGAAAAGCTCTGGATAACTCCTCAGCTACCATAAATAGTTCAAATATGACGATTCTCTACGTCATCCAGGCATCCTACATGATGGAATTGAGTTATGGGGAGTACAACGTCAATTTTACGTTAACCTGCGATGAAGATTCAGTTACAAAAAATATGGTTTTGGTATACGAAGAAAGAATATCAGGTTTTATGGTATGTTGCGTCTTTTTAGTATGAAAATGAATATTTTAAAAAAATATGTTGTTCACGGATGTTTCAAAACGATAAATAATAAAGATAACGACGGTAATCAAGCTTACAATACAAATCGGGAGCAGACCTCTACATTATACAATACTTCAGACGTACCGGTGGGATCAATAACCATGAAGGGAAAAGCATCCCGGTCACGTCAGCCGCGTGGCCCTTTTCTTGATCAGGAATACGGAAAATTCATACTGAAAATAATGGCCTACCAATTTATCAACATTTGAATCACTGATAGATTTTATTTGCTGACAAGGTCATAGTACATCGCCCAATAGAATTTTCATAATCTTTACTTTAATCGGGACTGTTGATATTCTTGTCTCATCAACTTATTTAATGATAGCTTGCATTGTGTTAGAATTTTTTCATATATTGATTTACTATTAACTCTTTTTCTGGTTAAATATCCAAATATGAAACAAATGTATTCATACTAAGGTGACTTTGATTTTGAGTGCATTGGAATATCGAATCCACGTATGAATGACAATAAATTTTGTTAATTAACAAACCGTCGTCGATATACCTAAATGTTGAATCAATGTCCAGAGCAAGATTTGTTTCACAAAGGAGTTTTTGAATAAATTTCGCTTCAAATTAAAAAATTGGGACTGCTATGAATGAGACACATTTAGTACTAATGAAAATTCCGGTGCTTGTTCTCCAAAAAATACATATGTACACATATATATTGTCAATCAGAAGCTCAAGTACATATTTTGATTACTTCTTATGAAATACAATTGACCACTGTATTTTTTTTGTTGTTGTTCGGAACTTGGAAAAAAAGATAAAATCCAAATAGTGTTATGCCGGTTGAAAAGCAAAACAAAATAAATTATATTATACAAAAATCCTCAAGTGTACATAATTCTAAAATATTTCAGAGTTTTTTTTAATAAGGGATAAATTTCTTTTTAATCGATTTTAGATCACAACCAATTCTCCAAAATTTCTAGTGAATACAGAAGGAATCATTGAGGCCTCAATTTCCAGTGGATCGAACGTACTTATTGAATGGACATGGGACACAAATCATTCTTGTATCTATGATTTGAATGGAAATGGATCTCGATCATTCAGCATTAATCTGAACTTTACAAAACTGGGAGAATTCAACGTATCGTTTAGTGCCAACAATGGAATATCAAATTATTTCACGTTTGTCGTTGTGGAGGTTTCACACGGCGTTAGTGTACAGTGTCCATTTTTGTCCTGGGTAAGCGAAGAAGCAAACATTACAATAAAAATGTTGCCCTCCTCGAACTTACAGGAACCTATTCAGCGAAGGTTGACTTATGGAGACGGCAGCGATGCTGACATAGCCGATCTGTCAAGTTCGCATATGCGAACTTCTGGAATGGTATCCACTAAGCGATATACAGATGTTGGAAATTTCACAGTTTCAGCTCTCTTTTTTACTGAAGCAGGCGATTTCAATCTCACATGCAAAATTCTCGTCTGTGAAAAAATAAATGCTTCACTTAGTTTTGACAGTTACACAAATGACAACCCGGTAGTATTTCATTTTATAAACAAACCAAGATTTAATTTTGACTATGCTGTGGACTTTGGAAACGGAGTTTTAAGAGAGAGCACAGACACGGTCTTAAATGAGCCATACAACATTCAGCCGTTTACCCATACTTACAACGATTCTGGAGTCTACAACATTACATCTACCATTTGCACTGAATGCACTTGCATTACGAACAGTTACATCATCAATATCCTTTGTAAGGACCTTTTTTTATCTGTAATTTTTGTTTTGTTGTTTGTTTTGATATACTAGTTTTGTATTTCATTTTTTTAACGTTATTTTTAAAAAAATTATTTATTATTTTTTATTTAAGTACTTATTAGCAACAGATTGAAAATTTTCAATTTAATTAAGCAAGCATAGTAAAATTCCTCATGTCGTATTAATTTGTATAATTTATGAAATAATTGGTAAAAAAAAAAATTATATAAGCTTTAAACCATTCTACAGAAAATTTGTTTATCACATGAGAATTCCTTATCATGTCTGCATTACACATAAAGGAATCTATATTATTGCAAGCTTGAAGGAGTTGATTTGTTATAGGTAATGTGGATTCATTGGAATTAGCCAACGGGGAATCCAATGTTATAACTTTAGAGAGTGGACAACAAACATCCATTCGTCTGGTGTTTCATGCTACCAGCGGCTCTTCGTATTCGTTTTCAGCTGTTTTGGATACAGGGAAAGCTCTGGAAAATTCCTCAGCTTCCATAAATAGTTCAAATATGACGATTCTCTACGTCATCCAGGCATCCTACATGATGGGATTGAGTTATGGAGAGTACAACGTCAATTTTACATTAACCTGCGATGAAGATTCAATTACCATGAAAAATATGGTTTTGGTATACGAAGAGAGAATATCAGGTTTTATGGTATGTTGAGTCTATTTAATATGAAAATGAATATTTTAAAAAAGTATGTTGTTCACGGATGTTTTAAAGCGATAAAATATAGAAATAACGACGGTAATCAAGCTTAAAATGCAAATCGGGAGCAGACCTCTTAATACACGTACCTTAGACGTACCAGTGGAATCAATACCATGAAGGAAAAGGCATCCCGGTCACGTCAGCCGCGTGGCCCTTTTCTTGATCAGGAATACGGAAAATCATACTGAAAATAATGGCCTACCAATTTATCAACATTCAAATCACTGATAGATTTTATTTGCTGACAAGATCATATTGCATCGCCCTATAGAATTTCCATAATCTTGACATTAATCGGGACTGTTGATATTCTTGTTTCATCAACTTATTTAACGAGAGCTTGCTTTGTGTTAGAATTTTTTCATATTGTGATTTACTATTAACTCTTTTTCTGGTTAAATATCCAAATATGAAACAAATGTATTCAGACTTAGGTAACTTTTATTTTGAGTTCAAAGGAATATCGAATCAACGTATGAATAACAATTAATACCGGGGGTATTTGTAATTGACAAACCGATATGCCTTAATGTTTAATCAATGTCCACAGCAAAAATTTGTTTCACAAAGGAGTGTTTGAATAAATTTCGATTCAAATTAAAAAATTGGGACTGCTATGAATGAGACACAAATAATGCCAATGGAAATTCCGGTGCTTGTTCTCCAAAAAATACATATGTACATAGATATTGTCAATCAGAAACTCAAGTACATATTTTGATTACTTCTTTTTTAAATACTACATATGACCACTGTATCTTTTGCTGTTTGGAACTTAGAGAAAAAATAAAATCCAAATAGTGTTATGCAGGTTGAAAAACAAAACAGAATAAAGGAAATCATACAAAAAATCTTCAAGCGTACATAATTCTAAAATATTCCACAGATAATGTATTTTAATAAGGGTAATTTTTTAAAATCCTTCTTTTAGATCACGACCAATTCTCCAAACTTTCTAGTGAATACAGAAGGAATCATTGAGGCCTCAATTTCCAGCGGATCGAACGTACTTCTTGAATGGACATGGGACTCAAATCATTCTTGTATCTATGATTTGAATGGAAGTGGATCTCGATCATTCAGCATTAATCTGAACTTTACAAAACTGGGAGAATTCAACGTATCGTTTAATGCCCATAATGGAATATCAAATTATTTCACGTTTGTCGTTGTGGAGGTTTTACACGGGGTTAGTGTAGAGTGTCCATTTTTGGCTTGGCTTAGCGAAGAAACAAACATTACATTTAAAATGTTGCCTTCGTCGAACTTACAGGAACCTATTCAGCGAAGGTTGACCTATGGGGACGGCAGCGATGCTGACATAGCCGATCTGTCAAGTTCGCAAATGCGAACTTCTGGAATGGTATCCACGAAGCGATATACAGATGTTGGTAATTTCACCGTTTCAGCTCTCTTTTTTACTGAAGCAGGTGATTTCAATCTCACATGCAAAATTCTCGTCTGTGAGAAAATACATGCCTCACTTAGCTTTGACAGTTATACAAAAGACAACCCGGTAGTATTTGATTTTACCAACAAACCAAGCTTTAATTTTGACTATGCCGTGGACTTTGGAAACGGAGTTTTGAGAGAGAGCACGGACACAGTCCTAAATGAACCATACAACATTCAGCCGTTTCCCCATACTTACAACGATTCTGGAGTCTATAACATTACATCTACCATTTGCAACGAATGCACTTGCACTACGAACAGTTACACCATCAATAAATTTTGTAAGGATCTTTCTTATATCTGTAATTTTTGTTTTGTTGTTTGTTTTAATATACTATGTTAGCGTTATTTACGTTATTTTTTTAAATTAATTTCTTCTTTTTTATTTAAATATACTTATTAGCATCAAATTGAAAATTCAAAGGCTGAAAATAATTTTTAAAATGCTTTCATTTTTTCCAGCTGGTATTACTTTGTTTGATGTAGCCAATGGAGGCTCTGATGTTGTCCATTTACCAAACGGTGGACAATCAACAATAAATTTAATCTATGATACACAAGATGCTTCTGCTACTTATTCATTAACTGCGGATATTACATCTGAGACAATGCTGGACACAACAGCGGCTTCTATTGTGGAAAGTAACAAAACAGTGACGTTTATCATGTCTTCTTCATCCATGAATACTCTTCAATATGGACAATACGAATTGATTTTATACCTGAAACAGACAATTAGCAATTTCTCTGATACAGTCTCCAAGAAATTGTTATTAGGTTATGAAGAGGCAATAACAACTACTCAGGTATGAAATGTACAAGTGTTAAATGTATACAGATATGTGTTTTATCATATCATATTGTACATAAGTTTATTCAGAGAAAACAATGAAATTTAAGCTATCTGTGTTATGTGGAAGCCGGTTGGTGCCAGGTAAAAAAAATATCTGGCGGCTGCCACATAAATAATTGACGACTGCCAGATAATTATTTAGCGGTTGCCAGATAAATACGTATTTTGATATGATTCTTGCGGCCGCTAGTTATATATGTGGTGGCCGCCAGATTAATATTTACAGTGTTCTTTGATAAGGTCTAATTAAATTTAACATGACTAATTTTCCCCTGTTTTTTTTTTAAGGTTTTTGTTTCTCCGCATTTGGTTGTGGATGAAATCTCTTTCTTTCATGCTACTTTGGATGGATCTAACGTCGTCACTGAATGGTTTATTAACACAAACACCTCATATATCTATAAGCATGAAGGCACAGGACAGCGAACGATAACAGTAAATTTCACAATTTCAGTCGGAGGCCCTGTCAATGTCACTGTAATTGCTGCTAATTTTGTATCAAGAAAAATAAACTACACGATGACAAAAGCGCTTCACAGAATCCATGGGATGACCATGAAGGCTCCTGTAACTCTCCTGGAAACCAGACAATTAGTAACCTTCAATTTAACACTTGATTCGTTGGCCTTGCAGCCCCAAGGTGAAATGAATATTACCATAGATTATGATGATGGGTCCAGTTTTGAAACATATCATGTATATGGGGAATCGACATTAACATCAATGCAAACGAATGGATTTCAGTTTGATCACACCTTTAATAAACAAGGCAACTATACCGTCAAGGCAACACTTGAAACGGAAGTTGATTTAAAATTGTACACAACAATAATATACATTTGGGACAAACTTGATAATGTTAGCTTACTCTGCAATAAATTCTATGCTAAGGTAAAAGAGGAAATAACATTATCTTTTTCCAATGTTCCTAATTCAAATTTTCAGTATTTAATCGAGTATGACGATGGAACGATCAGACAGAACAACGCAAGTGAGCTTTTTTGGGATCCCTGGCCTTTGCCTTTATGGAAAAAAGCTTATAGTTCACCTAGTATATACAACGTGAGGGCAAGGATGTTTAATCCATTCTACACCAAGTCTGTGACACTGGTCATCAAAGTAGAACATCCAATATTACCAAACGAATTTACACTAACCCCAGTAGAGGAAGAGATACCCATACCAGATGGAACGCAAACATTCACACTGAGCTACAACAGCACTCAACCGCCTCCAACAGATGTATTCTGTACTTTCAACTTTGGAGATGGTTACCTGGAGGCCAATGTTTCCTCAGTCATTACGAGATATAATCCTATTGTGAAAACACATACTTATACATCTAGTGGTGTATATAGTGTTCTTTTTTCCTGTTTTAATCATATAAGCTCTATGAACAAGTCTTCAAGTTTAACTGTTCAATCATTCGTATTGTCCGATTTTATAATCGATTATGGAAACAAACTAAAACTGATGAATATGACGAAAGTTCCATTTACACCAAACGAAACTTACAGACATACAGCAATATCTAAACCGTTGCCAGTGGATGTCAAATTCCGCATATTTTTGAAAAATTGTTCAAAAATGCCAAATAATATAATTGTAGAATGGAACTTTGACGACGGAGTTATTGGTGCAGGTCCACAAAGGTCTTTTTTTAAAACACACAAATTTACTCAAAGGAAGAATCATTCCATGGTTTTTACGTTTAAAAATACTATAGATAACACAGAATATTCATTTCATTATTGGATTCAGATGGGAATCGTCCAATTCACGGCGGATAGACAGTCCGGTATAATTTCTCAAACAACATTTCAGCTGTCTGCTTTCGGAATGAATAGTGCAACAAATATGTTCGATCCCGACTCTAAACAGGTTACAATGCACAACGATGCAAATATAGCCTACGTCACTTACATGTCTTATGGAACATTTCTCCCAAGTGTGATTGTACAAAATGATACCATGGTGGAGGAGGTGTGCTTACAGGTGCCAATAAAAGTAGATTATGTTATACAAAACAAATTGTCACTTTCTGTTCCTAATGCAACAGTCCTTTTACCACCCGGTGACGTAGAAATTACAATTACGCCAGTACAGCCTTTTCCATTTGTTACGTGTTCTTTTACATCGGGAGATCTGATTGATAAAAAAGAACATTCCAAAACAGCAAACATAACTCCGTCAGAACCAATGATTATTAGGTATAAGTATCAAACTTTGGGAAAGCATAATTTAACATTCCATTGTTCAAATTATGCTGAAGAATTGATTTTTGATATTGCAACTTTATACGTTCATAATCCTTGTTTCTCTAATCATGGAATATTTGATCGGAACTACGCTACTTACGAAAATCCAATGAAAGCATATACGTCCAGAGATGTTTTTGTTTCAAGCAGAATGCAAGTTATATGTATTGGAAAAACAGCAGGGTTTCAGTGGGATATGTTTAGATGTTTAAATGAAACTAACAAACCAGTTTTCAATTACGTTAGTCCAATGAGTCCTTTACAAGGTACAAATGTTTATGAGCATGGAAAAATTCCACCAGGCATCTATCACATCACATTAAATGTTTCACTTGAAGGGACATGGCTTAAGGAAAATATGTTTATTTCGTTTATAAAACCTCCACCGTATGCGTTCATCATAGGTGGAACAAAGATAGCTGCGAAAATCAACGAAGAGACGATAGGGGTTGATGCCTTAACAGGATCCTATGATGCAGCCAAGGGATATGGAAATAATGAAGACCTTACATTTACTTTCCAGTGTGAAGCGTGAGTTGTTTTTTTTTTCAGCTAGAGTTGATATTTGATTGCTTTTTTAGTACAGTACATTATATATCGCTTAAAATAGGTTTAGATAGATCTGATTGATGAGTACTAGTAAATGTTTTAGCTAAACTTCTTTTGTTTTCCATGGTAGCGCATATGCGTACGAAAAGGATTTTATGCTTACAACTTTATCAATGTGGATTGGATAATTTTTCCACAGTTGTAAAAAATATAATAAGCGGCAAGTAATTACTTTTCATAATACAAACATTTTTTCGTACCTGATACATCATTTTTTTCAAAAATGATATTACATGTGATACCTTACGTATTAATTGACAGCTTTCCGTCCAATGATTTCAAAGAAATAGAGGATTCTTTCAACGACAAAACCAAAAGCAAGGACTTGTGTACTCTGACTGGAAATGAAAGAGGAAAGCGTATACTAAACATAACGACAGCGAATGGTTACGCAGTCACTGTGAATGTCAGTGATGGTCAAAAGTTCTCCTCTTTTACACAGTTTCTCAGTATCCTTCCGGGAAATCCTCCTGACGTCATTTTGGTGTAAGACAACAATTACAGCTTACTTTTTTAAAAGTTAAGCAACTTTAAAAAGTTTTTGGGAAGTATTTAAATGGATGTTTTTTGGGGGGAAACAATATTAATACTCAACAAAGGCAAAACAGGAGTAATTTTTGAATTCCAGTTTCGTTTTAGTTTTTATCTTCATACCGGTGTTATAAAGTAAGGTTCCCCTTAGCTAGCTTTCCCCATGGAATCTGTACTCTAGAGTAGGATTTCTCCCCTGGGAGAAATCTTCAACTAGAGCCAAATTTTCCCTCTTATTTTCACAAAGTAGGGTTTTCTATCTTTTATCAATGCTTAAATCATATCAAAAATAAGTAACAAGTAAGTATATTTAAGTGATTTGACTCAAGAATTGTAAAAAAATTAGTACGAAATCTTAATTAGCATTCCCGGGTAGTGTATATCAAATTTGTTCAAATCATGTCCCCCGGGGGTAGGGTGGGGCCACAATGGACGATCAAAGTTTTACTTAGGAATATATAGAAATCAAGTTTTAAAAATCTTCTGAAGAATAACAAAGCCATGACTGGTCATATTTAAATGGAAGTATCCTCAGGTAATTCAGTATAGATTCAAGTTTATTCAAATCATGACCCCCAGAGGTAGAGTAAGGCCAAAATGAAAAATCAGACTATGGGAAATAAGCCACTGTATGTCAAAGAAATATTTTTAAAAAGCATTCTTAGTAAGTGTAGATTTAAGGTATTCCAATTCACACACATCCTTTTTAGGTGTAGGTCGGGACCACTTATGCATTTAAAATTTTTACTACTGGCTTGATTTTTGCTTTTTTTCTAGCCACGGTGCTCAGGTGACCGATGTGGCCCATTAGCCTCTTGTTTTTTGTTGTTAAGAAAAAGTCCATTTTTGTTCAATGTCAATATTTAAACACCAGAAGTTTAAAGAATTTCTTTTGTAAATTGAAAAAAACTTTTTGCATTTAAATATCTATTTTAAATATAGCTGCAGTATAAACTGTGCCGAAAAATACGCCATAACATCGAAGATGAATGTTTACGCTCAGTGCCGGGACTGTGCGCCCGATGAAACGCTTCTATTCTCTTGGAAGCTCATGAAAGTGACGAGTGGGACAGAAGAAATAGTTGATAATTTTGAGGACTTAACAGCAACAGGTTAAAAATTAGTTTATTTAAAAAGTACCGTTTTTCAAACTCTAACACGTTGGCGCCTTTTACACGAGAAAACCTGTTTTATAATGCTTCTTTCATTTTTTAACAATATAAATTTCAGGACTTAACACAGCAACGATGGTTATTAAAGAAAATTCATTTGAGTCCGGGAATCGCTATATTTTGCAACTCAATGTGTCCTCTACGGCAGCAAAACGAATGGGGTTCAGTATTGTTGCAATGGATATTCGGACCAACTATCCACCATACAACGGCAACTGCAAAGTCGAACCAGATGAAGGTGTATAATTTTATAGATTTTTAAAGAGAAATTGTTAATTTTTCCCCATTTCATTTATTGTCAATTAAGAAGTGTATAAACTTCTGGTATATAATAAAACAAGTTTGATTGATGCAAAGCATCAGATCAGTCGCAAACACATATCATTTTAGCATTTTATGGAACTTTTGAAAAAATAAATTCAAAGAAAAAAATCAAATTAAAACAAAAATTACATTACCAAGAATAATACATTTCATTTAATAGCTTTTCCCTTGCTTTACTTTTTCGGAGCGATTTTTATTACTTAAATTTCCAATGCGGAAATAATTAATGGATAGTGTCATCTGTAACCCTAATTATTAATGTATTCAAAACAAAATTAACTTCCTTTTAAGGTAGGATTTTTCTCATATTTCTTGTATTCAAAAATTAATGAAATTTTCACAGATTCAAGAAGGCAATATCACTAAATGATGGTATCAGCGAGAATTTATTTGACCATTTTATATTAAAGGGAAGGTCAGGTCAAAGGTCACTATCTTTTCCCTGGACATTTAATAACAAAATACTGTTGCCAATCATGCAATCTCTACCTGTATTTCAAAAGAATGAATGTTTTTCTATTTGCATAAAAAGATATTACCATGTAGGACCTATGGTAAAGTTGTCACATAAAGATACAAAATGATACAAAAACAAAAACTTTTGATCGTTTACTAAGAAAAAACCATATTAAAGAATTTTTTGCTCAAATCTGTACTTTGATTGGAAGCGTTTGAAAGCCCACATAATTCTACTTTGTTTGAATATTTATTTAATATATTTTGAAAGTTTAGTTACTTATTATAAGTTTAATTTACATTTCAAAATTTTTTCGAGGCTTTATTTGTGTAAAAATTATAATTAGATTTATTGTTCTTTCATGATTTTGAGAGACAGAAAATATATTTTCATACGCCACGATTCCACCAAAAATATAGTCCCTGCTAGTTTTCAAACGCAATTTACAATTCCTATTTATAGTTGTACAGTTGTGAGTTCTCTTACACCTAAATATATAAGACATATAAGCAAATATATTTAAATGTTTCATCTAGTCAGAAACCAGAGAAGAATACTACCTTAAAAACTTGGAAAATACTTGTTATTCTAGGCACTGTATTTTTTATCCGGAAACTCAATACTGTTTGCTTTTATCTCTTATGCACGCTCATCTTGGGGAGCAGTTAATGCAGCAACTTTTTATAAGATAATAAATTAATGAATATCTGCTGAAAAATGAAAAACAAATTGAAACTTAAAACAACCATTAGGAGAAGGTATAAAGATAATTTTAACAAGATTCATTCACGTCTTTTATGTTTATTATTATTACGAATTTAAAGAATTATTTCATCGAGGCAATGAAAAATAACGACTTAATATCCCATGTTCACATTCTAACACAACTAGGCTACAAACAGATCGGCCGCCGGCGGCCGTAATCATACTATAAACAGAGTGATTACGATATTTAAAACAATTGTCCAAGATCTACCTTAATTAAATTTTTTTTTTCATGTATTGGTTTTTAACTCAGTGGCATATTATTATGCTATGAACCATGAAGTGCGTTGCATTTTAAATGAATTTTATCTGAATCTTTTATTTATTATATGATTTATCTTCAACAGGAAGGGCTATGAACGATTCCTTTGATGTGCTTTGTGAGGACTGGGTCGATGAGGGATCCAGTGAGTCACGTGACATTTCAAAAGACAAAGATGCTCAGGAACCATTGGTATATCTCTACGAAGTACTGACTAATTCAAGCGATCCAGTAACAAAACGTGAAATTTACAGAGGAGGTACTATTACTTTTGAAACGAATATATGTTTTGATGAGATGTTGAGAGATACTTTGGCATTATTGATTTTAAAAAAAAAATGTTCAATTTGACGTTAACTGTGACTTGGAATTTTCGTACTTCATGATAAAATCTATCCACTCAATACTTGTACTGTAACTTTGAAATCTGACAAACCAAATAAAATAAATGGAATATTTATCCAAGTACAATTTACTAGGCTATTGCTTTCATTTAAAAGAAATGATTTAAAATATTCAAGAGAAAACCCTTTAGATGTATATTTATCAAAGGAATGAAAGGACAACCGGCTTCATATTTTTTTTTCAGCAGCTAATAAATTAACGTACCCTCTGGATATCTGAAGTATGAATGATAGCCTAATCTTCTTTGTCAATGTTACAATTTCTTGTTCTGAAGCATTCTTTAAAATATAAATGAAAATAAATCCTTGCATTTAAGTCTTTCAATTGATCCGTTTATATTATTTATTTAAAAAAATTATTATTCATAATGAAAACGAATCATTATTTGATCAGACTTACCTCAAACCTAAGCAGTTTTGCAACTTTTACCAACGTACATAGTATTTCCATATAACAACAGAGTATAATCTAGTGAAACTATATTTCCCACACACAAATAGATTTGGAAAAAAATCTGTTGCGAACATTTTAAGTTGAAGTGCTCGCTCTCCCCATCATGCACGATAAACCCCTTTTATTTGACCAAATATAGATGTAAGATGTAATCTGATTTGTTATACCCCTTCTAAACAGTCCCTATATTATTTCTTACTTTAAAAAGTCCAACAGTTCGACTGTTTTCCCCAGCTGTCGGTCCAGGAACTGTTAAAATAGACTATTAAAAAGACTGTTGCCCGCTAACGCCATATGGCGCTAACTTGAATCATCTTTTTATTCGGTAAAGTAGTATAACGAAACAGTTGTTGACTGGAGTGAGGAAAACAGTCGATCTGTTGGACCGGAGTGCAAACTGTTCTCCGCAGCCGTACTACCCCAGTCAACAACTGTATAATATGGTATGACAACCATGGCTGATTCTCCATGCCATAAAAATCTACTTTATGTAGAGTATATAAGATGTCAGAAACTTTTATAATAGTCTATTGACAACAGATTATCATGAACAATTTGTATATCTTTTTTTTTAAATGTTCATCATAAAACTTCTGTTAAAATATACACTCAATAAGTAATCCTAATGTATAAGAGTATTTGATTCAAGTGTAATCCAAACAAATACTAAGCTTTGATTGAAAAAGTAAACGATATGTGTATGTCAGTAGCCTTTGTGGTTAAAACGTGAGTACGTGAAATTTATTGTATACAAACCTCCATAATATTGGCAACGATAGGCGGGTGTGATCGGTTGGCAGGGGTTGCTTCCTCCTGTATTCTACCTGATGTTCTAGTGGTCCTTGTTTGCTCTGCTCCAAAATTTGTATTGTTAAATGTACTTTCAAGCATAATTTCATATTTTGGGATTTCTTCGGTCCCATAACACACCTGGCCGTGCCGACAAATTGAATACCGCGCGTTAGCGAACGAACATTGCGAGGAAAAAAGTAACAAATAAATTTTAAACGCACACCTGTTATACTTTTACGTTAATTTAACGGTTTATTCCCACTTAGCCAACATTTTGAAAAATCCTTTTCCCACATAGCCAACATTTTGATTTTTACACCTGAGTGATCAATAGGCTATAGTCTGTTTTCTGGTATGCGTATATATGAATTACCTGAGAATTATTTCCTTTGGGAAATAAAAACAGTGTAAAAATATACCAATTACAGTTGAAATTTGAGTCAAAATAAATATAAAATTAAAGGAAAAATTCAAGTTCAATAATTTTGTAATGTAAAAAAGTAGCAAAATTTAACCAGAGAATTAATTAATTCAAAAAAGTAATTAATTTAAATTTATAAATAGAATATTAGTATCATTTAAGTAATTTATTTTTTGTAATTAATTGTATTTTTTTTTTACCACACAACATATTTTCATTAGAAAATAAATAAAAACAATTAAGATACTTTGAAGAAATAATTATGTATATACATTAAAAATGGTTGTGTTTATACTAGTAAAAGTGCTTGTACATAACATTACCGATACATGTTCATGTTCATTTATTCACTCAACACCATTTTAAATACATGGTACATGAGGACAAAGATAAATATTTACAACATGTATAGGCTTATATATAATCAGGTCAGAGGTATAAGAATATGATATACAAAATCAGAAAATGAGATGGGAAAAAATGGAAAAAGAAAATGAAAAAAATATATATATATTGATAAATGTAATAATGAAATAAATAAGGGGAACAAATTATGGAGGACAGACTAAATCGTAAATTTTTGATATAAACATACAAAGTTTTTTAAGTGACATAGCATCTTGTTTTGTCATCAGTTGAGAAAATTTCAAAATATTAGGTCTAGTAGAGTAGTACTCATTAATATACTTTTTCCTGATTTTTGACAGTGCATTACATTCAAGTATAAAATGAAATTCATCGGCAACATGTTTTGCATCACAGAGTGTACATAATCTTTCATTTAATGGTATACCAGTCCATCTTCCCAGCTCAACTGGTAGACGGTGATTAGTAGTACGGAATTTGACAAGTATTTTTCTGAATTTTAGTGGTAAAATACTTAAATAATTTTCATACTCAAAATTTGTTTTAAAAGTCTTATACAAAATACCTTTAGAAGAATTATTAATATCAGAATACCATTTTTGTATAAATTGATCTTGCAATCTTTGTTTAACAACAGAAGTAACCCAGTCTTGATTAGGATGATAATAAAACTGTTCATTCCAAATATGAGATAGTCCACATGAATCAAAAATGCCATGAACACAGTCAATCCAAGGGTTTTTACCAATTTCATATTGTGAATTAGCAATTAAATATTGATATAATATACATGAAATTTTCTTATTTGTGCTATTCGGTAACTTACAGCAGTATGAAACTATTCTTGAATATATAATTACAGATTGTGGGAAAAGTCCTGTTTCACCATAAACCATATAATTCGGGGTACTACTTTTTAAATACAGAATATGTTTCAGAAATTTTAAGTGTACACGTTCAATAATATCTAGGTTTTCAAAACCCCAGATTTCACAACCATAAAGTAGCACTGGTAAAACCATTTTATCAAATAAATCAAGTTGACATACTACAGGGAGGTTAAAACCGTTAAATTGTCTTATTTTTCTGATAACACCATACATTGCTTTTTGGGCTTGGTCACAGAGATGTTTCTTGGCTTTTAAAAAGGAGCCAGATCTTGAAAAAATGATACCAAGATATTTAAATTCTTTGACAGTTTCTAGACTCTTGTTATTATAGTAAAATACTCTTTTGTTCAAAGGACCTTTTGAAAAAATTAATATTTTGGTTTTCTCAATATTTACTTATAATTTCCACTCTGAGCAGTAGCTTTCAAATTCATCCAAAGCATTTTGTAGATCATCAGGAGTTTCTGCTAAAATGACAGTGTCATCGGCATATAAAAGTATAAGGAGTTTCAAATAAACACATATAAAATTATTTTCTATCGATGTTGTAAGACTTTGTAAACCAATTATATTTCTATCAACAAGATAATTCTCATGTACAAGGAAAATAAAAAAGGAGATAAGTTTTCCCCCTGCCGGACTCCGACATTACAAAAGAAAAAATCGGTTGTTGTGCCGTTCATCTTTATAAGTGATTTGATTCCCTTATACATATTTGTGATATACGTAAAGCATTTGCCTTTAATTCCATAATTTAAAAGTTTACTCCACAGACCGTTTCTCCAACAAGTTAAGTACATGTATATAATTATTTTATAAATGATTATAATTGATTTTTTTTAAAGAATCTTCTAAACTAGATCAGCATAATTATTATCAATAATTTACAGAAGTAGGAAATATGGTAAATGTATCTCTAAAAAAAAAAATAAAATTAGTTTTCATAATTATTTTTCCAGGATGAAAACAATAATTCTTAAAGTTTAATATTTGAAGTATAGTAGTACATATGCATGTATCTCTAAAAATAAATTAACTTAGTTTTTCATATTTATATTTTCAGATGTAAAAAATTCAATGTAAGCATTTATTATTTTATGTTTACATCAATGTTCAGGTATAATTAAATATAATTCTTTAGAGAAAGAGAATTTCTTTTTCATTTTATATTTGAAATAAGAAGACATCTAAAATAGTTTTAAAAATAATGAAATATTTAAAAAATCATAGTTTAAAATATATATTAAAAAAAATTTAATATATATTTTCATAAAAACAATTTAATATTTATGAGAAAACAATTAAATATCTTATATTATCCTAATAAGAATTATATATTATTTATTCAGCATATAGCTAAAACAGACTATAGCCTACCTGTAATTTATTTCTTTTGTTCTCCACCTGCACCCCATTCCCACTTAGCCAACACCGACTTACCTGTGTTTTACCTGTATTTTTTCACGATCCACGAACAATACGTGAAATTTACAGAGGAGGTAAATGTTGGCTAAGTGGGAAGACACCAATTTAACAGGGTTTTTTTTTTTTTTTTTTTTTTTTTTTTTTTTTTTTTTTTATTAAATTGTGTCAAAACAATGTACATTTTGGTGTTCCTAGAGCATTGAAAATGCATAGTTCCTAATTTGTATTCTAACGGTGACAAGGTTTCGCGTGTGTTATAGAAATTTGAACGTCGTGGATTTCTAATGGATTTCATAAAGAAAATTACACTGAATGTAATTATTTGAGCTTGAATACTGTTTGTTACCTTGTTTCTTGTACATGTGCCTTATTCTTTATTCTTAAATAATTCGAACATATCAAAATGATGAGACACTCTTGTTTACTGTTAGCAATGATATCTAATAAATCGATTATAAATTTGAAAGTTTAATAATTTACAGCTTTAATGCTTTCACACTTTTCAGGAGAAAGTTCTGCCATCAATATGCAACTACCTCTCGGACTAAAAGAACTTAACTATACACTGGAAATAAGAGTATACATATTTGATCGATTCGGGGATGCCAATACGACAACTACTTACGTCAGGGTGTGTTTTATTATTAATTCCCTTTCTGAATGGTGCATAAAATGGTGCAAAATTACGTTCCTCGGGGATTCTAAGTCATTTGCCATCAATGTATGTTTTCTCTAGAATGCAAATGAGAATTTTAACTCACAATGCTTTAATCCAAATAGATCTCGTATGTTTTTTTAAATGAAATTTCATTTCAGATCATCCAGATTCTCTATGATACAGAGAATAAAGTTGATAACTGTGTACCTCAACATACATCATATTTGTCAGTCTATGTATAAAAAGCTTCGGAAAAAAAGGATGAAGTCAGAGCAATATATCAATCTTAACTTGATAACTGAACATTTCAACAAGCCTTTTTAAAATTCTATGATGAATATAATGGCCTTGTTAGCAAATATACATTAACATATCATTGGTTAGTATTTTCGATGACATCTTCCATACGAGTTATGTGGCATTTTTGAAATACAGAGAACAACGGAATGTTCCAACTACACGTATATTTATACATAGGGCTAACGGCAGATATGACTGGCCAACATATGCATATATATATATGTAGGATGCTTATTCTACTTAGGCAACTGATTAAACATCTAGAATTTCCAGGGGGCTGTTTTATGTCCTTTGAACAGATTTATATTGTTAGTAGATTAATTTTTATCTTTACCATTTTCCATTACTAAGTTCAGTTGTTGTTGATAATATTCTATGTTTTGTAAATTGGTTTAGTAAAGAAGGGATTCGATGAATTTACGTTATTTTTTTTCTCGTACTTTGTAAATAAAAGAATTAAGAGTTGGTTACTCGCAGGTTATGTCAATTACTTCCGCCTTTGGTACAGCTGTTCCAGGGGTACTATTTATGTATCATATTCATAAATATTTGTGTAAAGTATTCGGAAAAAAATCTTGACAAACCTTCCGAACATTTGGCTTTTAAAAATTGGAAATAACTAGTTTAGGTCCGATAATTAACGGAAATCGGTTTTTATGTAAAATGAGATAGAATATTCATAGGACATTAATAATTTTTGCTGATGAAGAAGATTGGATCGACATATATTTTTTTTGTGAACTTCCTTATTTAAAATTTCATGTTTAGTGATATATCGGGATATTATACTATTTTTTTTAAGTTAAAAAAAAGAAATCATTATAAAACTTAGTATACTTTTGGGATGTATTTAAAAATTGGAAATAACTAGTTTAGGTCCGATAATTAACGGAAATCGGTTTTTATGTAAAATGAGATAGAATAATAGGACATTAATAATTTTTGCCATCGACATATATTTTTTTTGTGAACTTCCTTATTTAAAATTTCATGTTTAGTGATATATCGGGATATTATACTATTTTTTTTAAGTTAAAAAAAAAAGAAATCATTATAAAACTTAGTATACTTTTGGGATGTATTTAATTTAAATTTTTTTTACGTGTTTATTGAGCGTGAAAATTTAAATTCCTCAAAAAATCCTTGTGAATATTTCCGAATAAAAAAGTTAATTTAGTATATATCTGTTACTTAGGTCAGACCTCTAGAAAACATACTTCCTAAAGATGACAAAGACACAGCAGGCTTAAACAAACTTTTTGATTCCTTCACAAATCTTCTAAATACAACGGAAGCTGGAGGGAATGATATGGCAGTTGTTAGGCTTGTAAGTTCAGCCCTGTCGTATTTCCAACAGGAAACGAATGAGGTATACATAAATTAACAATATCCCTATTTAAAATTATATTCTTTATAATTTAAATTGATCGTTTGGTATTTTTTGAGAAAGAAAATAACCTTCTTAGAAAAAAATCTCGCCAGTAATGTTATAAAATCATATCAAAAATCTCAAATTCATAAGATCATCATTGCATTTATAGTGTTTAAATCTCTTTCAATTGTATTTAATAGATAAATTTTACCACCCATGGTTGAACGTTATGTTTTAAAATACCTTTTACAATCCTATACAATATTCATTCTGCAGCCAGACATCTCAGATAAAAATGAAGAGGGACAGGGAAATCTAGTGGACATCGAAGAGGAACCCGAGGAAGAGCCTATAACTCCTGTGGTTAAGTTGTATCAAGAGGTATGGAACATTGCCTGTCCTTCATTTCCTACTCATACAAAAACGTAGTATCAAGCTTAAACATGTTTTGCCTTATTTGAAATAGAAAGCCAAAGAAATGGCTGGAGTCTTACTAAAATCTGTATCATCCGAAAACAACACTAAAGTATTCAATCCCACTGACGCCCAGCAGATAGCTGGTACTTTGATGTCCGTCTCCAGTAATTCTAAGTACATCACAACAGAAAGTGCAGTAAGTAACTTTATTTTTATTGAATAAACCAAGAATCATACAATCAGTTAGAAGGATTAGACATTCAGTTTATATACAGAACGCGATTTCTAATTATTTGAGTATGCACAACCATGTTACTAAGAAAAGATGCAAGGTTATATTTATAAAAAAAACGATGTTTCTTGGGGATTTTTTTTTTTGAAGAATGTTTGTGTCTTTGTGTCCATTTATTGTTCTAATATAATTAATAAACAGGAAAAATCAACTAAAGTAGCACAGACAATAATGGAAAGCGTAGTTAAAAATGCAGAAGTAGTCCCGTTTCCCGTGGAGAGTATCAAAAGTATAGAGGGGGCTGTCACTAGTGAGTATACACGCCATTTTCCTTTTCGCTGTACTTGGTATATGCAAATGTTATAGGATTATCTTTCTCAGTATATTCTTTGATATACGTTCAATAGTTAAACGTAATTATATATATTATATATATAAAATGTAATATTACTGGTTATTGTCAGATAAGCATTTGAAGGAGAAAAACAATAAAGATAGATTATATTTAATATGGGTTTTTAAGTGTCTTTGATTTCAATTAGCACAATATTGTAAACAAAGTAGTCACCATCTTCCTTATCTTCAAATTTTCAGGTACTCTAACATCCCTTGACAAATTTATCGATTCACTGATCCCCGAAGAAGTATATAGTCTTGACGAAGAAATATCGGAGGAATCAGTATACGAAGAGCTTGTAAAGGAGCATAAAAGAAATTCGCAACTTGAAGACCCTTCGATTAAAATGGATCCTGTTGATTTGAGAGAAAAAGCCAGGAAACGCTTTGCAAAGATAAAAAAGAGAATTGAAAAGCAAAGAGAAATGGCTAAATTTGTTAGTGAAATGTTATGAAATTAGTAATATGTTAATTATATGTTGTATTTCTATTGTTGACTAAAGGAAAAAAAAATTAAACACACCACATTTTCCATTTTAAGGCAAAGAAGACGGCAAAACTAATCGAGAAAGCTTTAAGGGATATGGAAAAGATCTCATTATTGCAACAAGAAGTAGGAGAAGGAGTTAAAACACTTCACCGCGGAGATATTATTGTGGTGACAGAAAAGACCACGCTAGCTGATGTTTTACTAAAGAACCAGTCCGAGTATCAAGGTATTCAACTGGAAATAGTTGAAGAAAATGTCAATGTATTAGATACAATCAACAAAACAACATCATTCTGGAACAACTCAGAAACAACCGAAATGACGACTCCAATGGATGTTACAGGGTCGGAACCAACAGCAATATCATCAATAAAACCATTATCAACAACATCAATGACAACTGCAAACAACACCATACTTTCATTGTTAAACATAACATTAACTGAAACTACAACAGGATCATCAATAAAGCCATTATCAATATCATTACTGACAACTACAAACACGACCATGCTTCCATCGCTAAACACAACATTAACTGAAACTACACCAGGATCATCAATAAAGCCGTTGTCAACGTCATTGCTGACAACAACTACAAACACGACCATGCTTCCATTGCTAAACACAACATTAACTGAAACTACACCAGGATCATCAATAAAGCCGTTGTCAACATCATTACTGACAACAATTACAAACACGACCATGCTTCCATTGCTAAACACAACATTTATTGAAACTACAACAAATTTATCAACTGTCTCTGAGCTTCTGAATGAGACACTGAGTGCCACCGTTTCACCTTTATTGAATTCCTCCGATGCAAAAACGTCTTCATTGACAAATGCAAATTCTGTTGTTAAAATGCAGGTGAGGTGGATATGTTTTTCTCATTATCTTTAGAAAGAATAACTCTTAATTTGATTCACAAAATTACCACAAGTCACAATATATATAATTTGTATATTTTGTTGTTTTTTTAATTGGGTTAAATAAAGCAGATGGTCTTTTACAAGATTTTTTGTTTGTATTCAGGTGTCTGTCATCAAGAAAAACCCCTACATGTATGGAAATGGTTCATCCGGGATAACATCCTCAGTAATTTCTGTCAATACAGATGGAAAAGTAGCCCCGATTATTAAATTCAAAAATAAGAATTCATATCGTTATTTGCAACGATACACCCCAAAGACAATTCCAAAAGATCCAGAAAGATTCTTCTATTTTAATACGGAAGTTAAACATGAAGACGATACCATCATGTTATACTTTAAACCAGAAAATATTGACATCAACAGCAAAAACCTAACTTTATACACAGTTTTTGTCAGCAAAACAAATTACCCAAGAGAAGCTGAAGAAAAGCATGACTGGAAAAGACTATTATCTGTCCGGGACTGGACGGAGAACGGGTTCAGACTTGTCATTCCACCCAATACATGTATCAAAGGGACCTGTTTTATTGGTTTGCAACCTGTTGAAGGTATATACAATATGTATTAATATATATAGCTTCTATAGTAGATATATAGTCTTGAACACGAATACAAAATATCATGGCTTAGTGATCTTGACTTTTGAAATATGATTCTCATTCTAAATTGTAAAACAAATTACATGTCGGTCTAAAAAATTAAAATAAATATTAAGTTGCTTTTAGTCAAGAGTATTCATCATGACTTTATACAATAATGAGTGGGAAGGTGGTAATTGGATAATGAATACAAAATAACTAAACATTTTTTATTCATTCATTTCTTTTACATTTTCAGCAAAGACAGAAACAAAATCAAGAAAAAGAAGGGCTGTGGACAACACTATAAATGAGACAACCACAATGGTTTTAACATCTGCTAAAACAGATGCTACTACGCAGGAACCAGATCTACCAGACTTCAATCCGTCCGTTGCTAATTTTTCTTTAGCCATAGCGACCACTGCCTGTCGGACATGGGATGAAGAAGAAGAAGCTTGGGTGTCCACTGGATGCACGGTTGGTTAAACTTTCCAATTGATTTCTATATTTTCATAAGATTTTGGTTGAATTCATCTTATTGATAATTCAGTCATAAAAGAATCATAATTATCTACTGCTTCTAATCTCATCCACATTTTCTGCGAAAAAAAACACAATAAGGAAAGCCTCTTGAAAGCATTAAATTTCTGAAACAAAAATTGTTTTTTTAATACATTGTCACCAATAACAAATATAAAATTAATTGTTGCGTTTAAAAAGTTTTAAATTAATTGCTATTGAATGGGTATATAATGTTAAGGTTCTAGATACAAGCACTTTGGAAGAGACAAACTGTCGATGCCAGAAGACAAAATCTAGTGGATCCATATTTGCCACTACGTTTTACGTGCCTCCTAACGTTATACACTGGGATGTCGTCTGGAGCAGGATGGATCCTGAGAATGCTGCAGTATATGGCACTCTGATTGGTCTCTTCATCATAGCAATCATCTTATTCGTGTTCCTAAGAAAAAAGGATAAGCTGGATCTAGAAAAGGTATCTCTTGTATTATTGTACGTACCTTTCATTTTCTACGTGAAAAAATTCTAATTGCATGTATTTTAATTTTTTTTTAATTTTATTTTAAAAATTCATATTGATTTATTCAAGTGGACTGTCAATTTCTTGGCGGACAGTGATGCTTCAGACAAATATTTCTATTTGATATCCGTTCATACCGGCATGAGGAGAGGTGCAGGTACAAAGTCTAACGTCAGCTTTGTTTTGATGGGTGAGGAACTTAACACCGAGGTTCGCCAGCTCACAGACGGAATTTCGGAGGTTTGTAGGGAGTATTCCTCATGTATCTTTCATTACATGGTGAAACTACATTTAAAATAATTGTCATAGCTTAATTTTTTTATATTGATTATGGAAAATTTTGATTAAAATGAATTATATATTAAATAATAGATCCAGATAGAAGTAAAATAATATTATCAAGTAATATATTAATTTGATATAACAATTAACATGCCCAAAATTTAGAATTCTCAAATTAACCTATTTTTATATGTTTCATGATCTTCAAGGGATTCCAAACGTCAAGCATCAAACATTTTTTCATGGGAACAGAATTTTCACTCGGTGATTTAACTTGCTTACAAATATCGCACGACAACGCAGGGTCAGGGGATTTTCAGAGCTGGTACCTGAACAAAGTCGTCATTGATGATGTGCAAACACGCAAAAGGTAAAATACGATATAATTTACCAAGGACCCCAAAAGGTACCTTATTTTGTTTATCTTATCCGTGTACGTTGTATCTTATATAATCGCCATCTTTTGCTATATATCCTTATATGTTCATCAAGTTTAATCTTTTCACATTTTTATACTTTTTTCTCAATTTTATTTTTAATTTTAGTTTACACAATGCATATTTTGGAAATGGGTGATGGGAATTTATGTGAAAAAGACACATTCAAATAAGCAATGATAAGTTAAACATTCCTTCATTTAAAGAGAGTTTTTACAAAATCATTAAAAAGATTATCCAGGGACTTTAACTGTTTAGGTCTCGTAGATTTTTCATTCATTTTTAATCAGCCTTGCGATATCCATGATGACAGCAAAGGTTAATATTCTTCTATCTTTTACACACTATTGATGTTTGCAAAAGATCTTTTTAAAATGAATGTTTTTTTATCATTAGATACGTTTTCCTTTGTGAGCGATGGCTGTCCCTAGATCACGATGATAGTGCGGTGGAATATACCATTCCTGTTTGTGAACAAGAAAGTCTTCTCTCGTTTATTAATCTGTTTTCCCAGCATGCACAAAAGAGCGTCACTGAAAACCATCTCTGGTTGTCAATATTCATCAGACCAGAACGAAGCAACTTCACGAGAGTACAAAGGCTTGTTTGCCTTACATCATTTTTGTTCCTAGCCATGCTTACAAATGCCATATTCTTCAAATCCTCCGAAGAGGAACAAGATGTTGGTGAAATCAAAATTGGACATCTGAGGTTTTCTATGACCAATCTAATCATCTCGATCCAAAGTATTGCAATCACTACCTTTCCTATTATATTTGTTGTATTAATCTACAGGAAGAGTCGTCAAAAGCAAATGATCAATCATAAAGATAAATATAAAGTTGAACAATTAAATGAAAATATTTCAAAAGCCATGGAGATGAACAAAAACTCTGCAAGTGAAGATTCTTCTTTGGACGATCCATTTCTAAGAAATCGTCTGCCATTGCCGCACTGGACAGTTTATATAGCGTGGACAGTAAACATACTTGCCATTTTAGGATCTACGTTTTACCTATTTTTGATAAGCATGCAGTGGGGAAAAGCAAAATCAGCAGACTGGCTTACGACCTTTGTTTTAAACTTCTTGGAATCCTTTTTCATTGTTGATCCTCTAAAGGTATTTTTGCTAAGTTTGGGATAAATCTATGTTTCAAGTTATACGCAAGTTAGAAGCTTCCAAATTAGAAGGGTGAGGGTATGTAAAGTCGAGTTTCTTGATGAAAAATCATCATTTTTCCTTTTTAATGACTGGAGAAAAAACTTAAATCCAAATTCATGATTTTTGGAAGATGGATTGTTTTCATTGATATTTTTTAAAAGTAAAACAGCAAAAGCTCTAGCATAGCATATTACTAAAATGAGACGAGATTGATGGAATTTTCAATGCCTTTTTAACGACAAAGTGGCATTTTCCTTTTTAAAAATTATTTTATTCTTCTAAAACACTTGTTTGTACCTTCAAAGTTTATTGGCTAAACACTTGATTTCAAAGACAAGAAAACATGAAAGTTTTGGATCTAAGTTTTATCGCATTGTGATATTTTTAATTATCGGAAAAAATTTCATTTTGCTGAAAAAATGATTAAATATATACAGCTTATATCCAAGCTCTAGCATAAATGGCAATATATTATATACTTTATATAAAGGAAAACTTTTGCAGGCCAAAACGTTCTAATTTTTATTAATATTAATCGTCTGGTGTGTATTACAATACAACTATCTGAATAATTTGAATTTTAAGGTTTTATTTGATTTGTACTGGAGACATGTTTTTATATAAAATAATCCTTCTAGTTATTTTAAGAATTTAACTATCAAAGAATTTTTTAATTGATGATTTCTTTTAAAATTTTAGTAAAATTAACAAACTTTTTATGTATGAAAAATTGCAGCATAAAAAATTTAAATTTTAGTATTAACTATACCTTAGCTTTATCTATGAATTCTGTTTGTTTGCAGGTAATGTTAGTTGCTGTTATATTAGCTCTACTCTTCAAAAGGTCTCCAGATGGCGAGGTACCTTCAGTGTCTGTTGAAGAACTCAAGAAAACAGTTTCTCTATTTAAAGGAGGAGTCAAAAGAAGTGACATTGGTATGTAACTTAAAACTCTATCTGCATGTATTTCCAAAATAATGTCTACTTGAAATGCCTGGTTTTAACTTGCAATAAAATTTAAAAGAGATAAATTTAAAAGAGATAAATTTTCGTATAATTAAAATAAATATGGGCTAGACAAAAAAAATCACTGAATAGTTTGATGACAACAAACATATTGTGGTAAAAATAAACATTAAATTCGTAAATAATTGTTTGTGCATACATTCTCCTGGGTCATATGCACTCTTATTGCTTTAAATCAAATCATTTGCTCTGATATTGATATTATAAAAGTGCTTGGTTTTCTCATTAAAAAAAATACCAGTGTTTATAATCTTGCCCAGGGAGCAGTGAGTGTTCTTTACGGTACTAACAACCCGGTTTTTTGGACTTGTGGGAAAGACTCGTGGCTTTTTATTACCGGGCGCTTGACGAGGAACTATTTGTATTCGCCTTATGTTTGATGCGGCGCAGCATTGATTGCAAGGATATTACTCGACGTAATGATAAACATGATAATCACGATGACTTCATCTTTTCTCTTGTCATCTTACCATATTCATGTAGCAATCAACTGTCTTTGAGAATTTTATCTCCCATTTGATTCTATACATAAGAGTATTTTCTACGTCCGAACAATTTCTACAACGAGGCAAGCTATTGACAAATAAGTCGGTCGAACTAATATATAAATATCTTGTTTGAAGTCAGTATTTCGAACTTTCTGTGATTTGTACAATGTCATTATTGTATATTTAATCTCTGGCTGGGTCGGATGTTGAAGGACGTCCTCCATAAAAAATGTAGGGCAATATTGATAGAAAATTTTTTTGTTTGCTAATATGTGACACGAAGGCAAAGGATGCTTACTCATCTGCACCACTGATTTTACCTTTATAATTAGAGGTCCGTGTTTGCTCCGTTCACAATACATTTTTTTCCCATTTATTTCCCAGACCTATAACAGTCAACAGCTGATACAATTACATTTTAAATTGACTTTTTGAGAATGATCACTGTTTAGTTTATGTATCTAAATTTTACGTACTTTATTATATCGCATTGATTTTCTCTTTCTTTTTTCATTTTCTTTTTTTTTTAATTTTCTGTAGTTTTTCTCCACGACTTGATGAAACCAAATGTAGAAAATACCCAAAATAACATGCAGAAGTTGAAAGAAAAAAGGAAACAGGAAATGCACGCAAAAGAGGCCTTATTCACCTTATTCTTTTACGCTTTATTCATTTTCATAATGTATAGCATCAGTTTCATTGAAAGAGACCAGAGGTCGTATCATTTAAAGACGAACATACACAATTATTTATTCCAAGAAACAAAGTCAAAGGTAATGTAAATGTTAATTAATTTCCTTAATAAATTACTACAACAGTCATTCTAATATCTTGTAATGTTAACAAACATGAAATTGTCTCACGAATTTAGATTTTTTTAAGTAATTGATGCTTATTTTTTTTTTTTTTTTTGCCCCATTCAAAAATTCAAGATTTGCAAAGTAACAATGAGTTTGCATTCATGAAAAGTATATATATCTGATACCTGAATGCTTTCTTCTCCGGGTTTTTAAATTCTCGGAGCCTGGGATTTTCAGTTAATTCTAACTTTTTTTTGTAGATGAACAAAACGGAAGATTTTTATAATTGGATGGATACAGTTTTTATCCCTATTTACTATCCAACAAAGAATTATGCAAATTTGAATTTAAATTCTATTGATAAAATGTGGTTTGGAGATATGGCTAATATACGAGTTGGTCCCGGTCGGATTCGACAAGTTAGAATGAAGAAAGGTACAGTATAAATAATGTTTATCTCAAACGCCAAATTGATTTTAAAACTAAAAGAAAATGAATAAATGAATACAATTATCTATGCTAGATTGAAATCATTTTTCCTTTAGTTGAATGCGACTACTATAAGCTGACTTGGTCCCACGTTTGTGTTGAAATGTACAACGAATATGAGGAGGATGAAGACAAATATTGTGTGGGATGGACTACGTACAACGCGTCAGTTTGTGAGACATTAGCTTACAAAAATAGTGAAATCACTGCAGATGCATGGAAGTTCACAAAATCCAGTGATATTTGGGGATCTCCTTTTATGGGAGAATATGCCACGTATGGCGGTGGAGGATACATCCTTAAGTTTACTAAAAACCTTGAAACAGCGAAAATGATGATTGATGAAATTAGAAAACATAATTGGATTGACAGGGGTACAAGAGCCATTTTTGTTGAGTTCACTTTATACAATGGAAACACTCACTTGTTTACTTATATTACCTTTAGCAGTGAAACAACTGAAACAGGTGGAGTGTTTAACTGGGTTGAAATTAGACCTTTTCGACCGCTTCTTTCTTTAGATAGTTTAGGAACATATTCACTTGCTTGTTATATAATGTTCTTTATTTATCAAATTGCGCTAACAGTTCAAACGGTGAGGGTCATTCGAAAAGAAGGCATTTGGCTTTTTTTAAAGATGACATGGAATATTGTTGATTCAGTTTGTTTGGTGCTTGGATACTCAGCAATTGGAATATATGTAACAAGAATGTCATATGCTAATAAGGCAATGGACATCTTTTATGATGATTTAGGAAATTATGGTGAAGACCGATTTGTAAACTTTAATCATATTGTCATCTGGGACCAAACCTACAACGCAGTTGTAGCAGTGCTTGTTTTTACAGCAACGTTGAGAATTATCAGGATTATGGGATATAATAAGAAATTTACTGAAATTGTATCTGTTATAACGGGGGCAGCAAATGAGTTAATCAGTTTTGGAATTGTGTTTGTGATCATCTTCTCAGGTTTTGTTATAAGCGGTTATCTTTTGTTCGGAAGAAATTTAATGGAATATCAAAGCATATTTCAGGCCTGGACAACGCTTACAAATGCCCTAATAGGAAAGAACTCTCTCCAGCGCATGTCACTTGCTGCACCATATTTTGCACAGGTGTACTATTTTACCTATGTCTTGTTTGTGATATTTACTCTTATTACTGTATTTGCCGCCATTCTGAATACAAGTATTTCCCATGTTCGCCAAGAAACTGCACAGCTTGGGGATATATATGGAATTTTTGACATGTTAAAGAAGTCAGTTAGGACCGTTTTTGGCGTGATCATGAAAGAAAAAAAGAAGTCAAAAGAATCGCAAGATAGAGAGGGTAAGAAGATTAATGGCTTTTATCTTAGCATTTATAATTATTTTATTTCATGAGGTTTTCCAATTTGTATGCTAGCAAGTGATGATGATTAAAGTTTTATTAAAATAAATAAAAGTAAAAAGAAATTTATATCTTTTGAATTTCTCAAATCTATATTTCAAAAATCCCTACCTAAATCATTAAATTATTTTCAATTTTAAAATATATTTGACTTGATAACAAGTGTATCCCCGAGTGAACGGTGATAACTAATTATAAAATAATCCAGTAGAGTCATTTAAATTTTCTTGAGTTGTTTTTCATATTTCCATTTAATTTCAATGAAACTCCGCACACTTCAATATAAATATTTTCTTAATTAAAATCATTAAATTAATGTCTTATCAATTACACAGAATAATCAGTACGCTTCTTTAGAATTGCTATGTATCTGACCATTGGTTTAAGGTATTATGTATTAGAATTATGTTGAAATAAAAACGTATAACGGTATGAATAATAAAACATTGGTCAGATTTGCCCCTGTATCAACAAAAATCTTGTTCTGTCACATTTCTAACGTAGTCCCTCATTTACATAATCTGTTTTTTCTAAAATTCATTTGATAAATGGAATTCCTATTTCAAAGAATTGCTTGAAACATTTTTTCTTACAGAAATCCGACTGAAAGCCCGAATGTTTTCGCAAATTGATGCCTCAAACATATTGAAACTTATCCGAGACGTTTTCGATGATTTCCCAGCAACAAAGGTACAGCATAAAGGTCACTTTTTGGTTTATAATTAAACTGCTTAAGGGGAAACCAGAAATCCCAAAAGATATTGCTATAAAAGAGAATGGTGAAATACTAGTAATATTACATATTTGCCTTCGTGGTAAAGATTGGAAGAACATGTATTTCACATTTAGTTGTTTTACTGAATTTAGATGATTAGGGCCAGTAAACAAATCTTTTATAAACGAGATGACGTCAGTTTTTCAATCGTTAGCTTTGCTTATGAACCCTCGGTAATAAGCAGTTGGAAAAAAGGTCTATGAAATGGTATGAAATACATCTGCATTCAGCTAAAACATTATCAAAAAAACACTTTAAATGACTTGTGTAATTTCTACTATATAAAATGTCGTCAAGGAACAACTTATTTTGTAGATTACTATTGAAATGTCATATATTTATATAGGAATTCACAGATACACCAATGGGGGACGAGAGAGAATTTTCAACACTGTTTAGAAAAACTCAGAGATTCGACAGAGAAATTTTTCCTCGCGTGGAGACTCCAGGGAATATTCTGATTTCACTTGATACTGAAAATAGAAAAAAGAAATTGCCTCAGCCTTACTTTGTGTTCTAAAACTATATCATTCAACGATATTTGAAGTAAAAATATAATAATTTATCCCCAATTTTAATTTTATGAAGGCATGCATGTAGATGCTTTTTAGTAGAACATGAGGGAAAATGTACTGTCCTCAGCGATTTGGACACCTTAAGAACTGGGGAAAAAACATAGAAGTTTCCAGTTGCAAAAAATTGCAATTGGAAGAATCTTATGAAAAAAGTTATTGTCTGATTTTAGTAATAAAACAAATTTGGTCAATTTCAATTTCCCCCTTTCTTTTTCAATGCAACATTTAGTATTGGGCTTTATAATCAAACAAATCAAATGAACATTAAAAATTTACTTTACATAATTTGATATACATCATAATTTTTATCATCAGTCAATTGTTTCATGTTTCTGTCACTATTAATTCCATTTTGTTTGATTAACGATGTAAATTGATATGGTCTGCTTCCTCCATAACTTACTTAACAAATGTACGTGTCATTTGGGTGTTATTAGTTTAACTTATTTGAAAATAAACATAGTCTTTGAACATTGATCTTCGATCCTTTTGCATAAAAAAGAAACCATTGAAGAGTTCATTTATACAATTAATGGGCTCAGGCACTGAAAAATGTCAAATTTTCACATACAGGTATCAAAGGTTAAAAGTCCCCTGGGAGGGGGTCAATTTACTGCGTACCATGCATTATTTATTCACAAGTGATTGAACAACAAACCCAATTAGTAGAAACAAAACACATTCATGCTAAAATGTTTTGAAACATATTGATCTTGTGTCAAAAAGGATTGAATGGAATTTTCTTAATTAATTTTCCATTTGCATTGACTAAAATTGCCTGATCAATTTCTATGAAGTTGAATAAGTTGAATAAAATCCATACGATAATAAATAAATTGCCGGTCTTGTTAACTTTAAAATTTCACACGGTCCCTCAAAAACTTTGCTCTTGTTTAAAGATAAAGGTCCAAGTATTGGTTCCTTGATGTTATCAAACCCCTTTAACTGTGTTGGCGTATAACGGTATTATATGCTTTTCGCCATTTTTGCTGGACTAGCTAAAAGAATCGCCATTCTAGAAAATTCAAATTATTTTGACGATTAACTGGTCTATCCGTCCGTCTGTCTGTCCGTTTTGTCTGTCTGTCCGTCTGTCTGTCTGTAAACAATCTTTCAAAATGCTATTACAGTTTTGTCTGATTTCAATATAACTTGGCACATAAGTAAACTACACTAAGATACATAATTCTGTGTATCGGTTTTTGATTTCAAAACAGTGTTGCCATGGTTACTAAAAATAGAAATTTCTGTGCCAAAATACTACTCCTTCTACATTTTTGGGATTTCAATATAACTTAGCACACAGCTACAGATACATAATTCTGTATATCGATTTTTGATTTCAATGAACGGTGTTTTTTTCTAAAAATAGAAATTTCTGTGAAATTCTTTCAAAATGCTACTCCTCCTACAGTTTTGCTGATTTCAATAAATTGGATTAGTTGGTTTATTTGTATATCGGTTTTTGATTTATGCGGTGTTGCAGTTGTTAAAAAAAGAAATTTCTATGAAATTTTTCAAAATGCTACTCCTACAGTTTAGTATGATTTCAATATAACTTGACATACAAGGACTACACTAAGATACATAATTCTTTTTAAGTTTTTAATTTTGATGGGTGTTGCCGTGGTTACTAAAAATAGAAATTTATGTGAAATTCTTTCAAAATGCTCTTCCTACAGTTTTGGTTGATTTCAATATAATGGCCTTCAACAATATGGTATTGGTTTTTGATTTTAATAAATTTTGCCATGGTTAAAATTTCTGTTAAAAAAAAAAAGTTACTCCTCCTGCAGTTTAAGTCTGATTATAATATACTGTGGCATGCAAGTAGACCATACTAAGACCATAAAGAGACTTAATCAAGGATCATTATTCTTTTTATTGCTGTGGTAAAGTTTAATGGACTTTTCTCTTTTTGAATAATGAATAAAAGAACTTAGAAAATTCAAATTATTTTGACGATTAACTTAAAACCACCATTTTTAAAGAAAGGGTGATATTGGATTCATGATATTACCCAGCCTGTAGTTGTATGAGTTGTTCATCTTTTAAGAGTATTATAAGCACACCCACTTTTTTTTTTATGTCGGGCTAGCAATATTTGTTTTCGTCTGTTTCTTAGCGAGGTGTAATTTACTTCTACAATATGGTTTACATTTTGTCAATTAAAATTTCTTGAAATAAACATTCAGTTTCTAACGGTGTTTCAATAGTGAACTTACTGCATAAATATGATTCACAATTCGAATAATGGATTTTGAATAACAAATAACATTTCATTGCATTTTCAAACAATTTTTAAATGATTTTTCAAATAAAAGAGCCCCATGGGGATCCGGGTTAGAATAGGTCCTAAGTACCCCCTTGCTTGTCGTAAAAAGCGACTAAATGGGGCGGTCCTTCGGATGAGACCGTATAAACCGAGGCCCCGTGTCACAGCAGGTGTTTTTTCAAAGGCCGTAAGTGCCGAGCATAGGCCTAAATTTTTCACCGGCAATGGTGACGTCTCCATATCAGTGAAATATTCTGGAGCGGGGACGTTAAACAGTATACAATCAATCAATCAATCAAATAAAAGCTTCGATAGCGATCCCTCATTGTGGACTCATCCTACCCCATGGGCAGGAATTAAAATATAATATCAGGTAGCTGTGATATGATGAAACTTCATCTTTTCTAACAAACGATTCTTCATACTGTATGAGTGTTTGTTGTTATACGTTCCAATTGAGTATTTTTTACTCGTACTTGTTGACAAGAACCCCCCCCCCCCCCCCCGAATACACACCCGGGCATTATTTTTTTTTTAATAAATAAAACGTTAATTTTATTTTTTTTTTCTTTGATTTGTCATATGAAATACAATGTGAATGTGTACTAGAGGATAAAGTTATGAAAAAAGATGAATAAAATTATTTATTGTGCCAACGCCTGTCGTGTGACGAGACATCGGATTAAAGATCTCTTGCATATACCCGTAGCGTTCACTTCAATGTGTTGAGCGCTTGGCGAAGGAACATGCAGTTGTTACCTATATTTTATCGAAGTTGAACCAATGGTCTTCCGATTGATCACGGAGAGAGCGCTCTTTCAACAGAACTAGCGGGAACACAATTTTTAAATGACTCCACCAAATGTCATTATTTCTAAATTGCTTCTTTTTGAAAGAGGACATTGCACTCCATTTGTACAAAGTCGAATCTCTTTAGCTAAGATCATTTTATAATGAATTTGTTTAAAATTTGGTGAAGTGGTTTAAGAGAAGGAATCGAATATATTATTTCTTTTTACAGACGACATAAAATAGACGGACGAACGTCGTGCGTTCATAGACAGAAAAGCTCACTCGAGCATGTGGCTTCTGTGAGGTAAAATAAAAATATATTTCATCATAATAATGGTGCCTGCTAGCCTGCGGACCTAAATGAAATCAAAGAAAAATGTTTCTCGTCAAAAGTGAACAATACACGTCCAACAAAACTACAGTGTTGACCTTTGCATTTTATAAAATTACGCATGAACGAGACTCACATTTTCAAACCAAAAACTCAAGTGCTTCCAGTCCGTCTCCGATGATATAAACTAATTATAAAATCTCTTTTGTTAAAGTGTTATTTACTTTACACAAAGGGAACGATTTGGAAAATATTAACTTTAACTGGCATCAAATGAACCTTCGGTATTTGAGATTTTTGATCAAACGGTGGGAAATATTTTATAGAAATACAAAGATAAATAAGTCTTGATGATAATTATGCTTTATCTTATAAAATTTACACGCACTGAACCTTTTATCTTTTTCTGCAGTATATGTCTTAAGTAAATTTTGATTTTACTCTGAGCAGTATACTGTACATACTAGTTCAATGTCCGGAATTAAGCCTTTTTCTCATATGGTGCAATAATACAAGATGTACTTTTTAAATGAATGCCTGCTACATAACACAGCATGTCCGCCGCATAGTCATCTAAATTTATTTTCTAAAAGGTAAATGTACTTAAGGATTTCCTTCCCCAATAAGACCAAATTTTCTACCCATAAATGTCCATCAAGTACATGATACTCTGATATTAAATCAAAGCATTTTATAGTAGAAAAGGATTGCCCGCGAGACATTTTCAAACATTTCATTTACTAGGCAGTAGTTAATTAACAAATATCGTATTGAAGTCTATGGGGGAAAAGTTTTCTCTTCTAAACAAAAATTGAAATAATAAGAATGTAATTAAATACTGCTGTGGAAAGATGCATTGAAACTTTAGAAATAGAATGACAATTGAAAATAAATTGTTGACCTAGTAAGTTTTTAGCTCACCTGAGCCGAAGGCTCAAGTAAGCTTTTCTGATCAAAATTTGTCCGTCGTCTGTCGTTGTCGTTGTTGTCGTCGTTTTAAACTTTTCACATTTTCATCTTCTCCTCAAGAACCACTGGGCCAATTTCAACCAAACTTGACACAGAGTATTCTTGGGTGAAGGGGATTCAAGTTTGTTCAAATGAAGGGCCACGCCCTTTTCCAAGGGGAGATAATCATGAATTTGTTAAAAATTAATGGCATTTTTAAAAAATCTTCTTCTCCAGAACCGCTGGGCCAGGAAAGATGAAACTCATGTGGAATCATCCTCAGGTAGTGTAGATTCAAGTTTGTTCAAATCATGACCCCCGGGACAAGGCTGGGGCCAAAATGGCCGACCCTTGTTTTACATAGGAATATATAGGAAAAATCTTTAAAAATCTTCTTCTCCAGAACCACTAGGCCAGGAAAGATGAAACTCATGTGGAATCATCCTCAGGTAGTGTAGATTCAAGTTTGTTCAAGTCATGACCCCTAGGGCAAGGGTGGGGCCAAAATGGCCGACCCTTGTTTTACATAGGAATATATAGGAAAAATCTTTAAAAATCTTCCTCTCCAGAACCACTGGGCCCGGAAAGATGAAACTCATGTGGAATCATCCTCAGGTAGTGTAGATTCAAGTTTGTTCAAATCATGACCCCCGGGACAAGGCTGGGGCCAAAATGGCCGACCCTTGTTTTACATAGGAATATATAGGAAAAATCTTTAAAAATCTTCTTCTCCAGAACCAATAGGCC